ATCTGAAGACTTAGTGATCAGCAAGAAGGAAAAGGCAGGGCACAGAGCAGTGTGCTGAGCGTGCTCTCACTTTGAAAGTTTCTCTCTTTCATCTTTTCCTAAAGGTCAAAGCAGGGCACAGTGGGGCTTCATCCATGTAACAAAGTGAAGTTCGTGGCTTCCTGTCTGCTTATGCACCCATCCCATCATAAGAAAACGGCAGACTGATTTGCACCAACATTTGAAGATATGTTTGCTATGGTCTGACTTAAAATACAGGTTGTTCGGCTCATGAAAATTTCATTCTGGGGACCCTGGAGAGGACGTGTCAGAGAGACAAGCCGTCCTGCTCCGGGGAAGCTGGCCTTGGTTAAGCAAGAGAGCCCACATAATTGCCCATTGGAAAAGACACACTCGGAGGTGGGTTCAGGTCCAATGACAGAGGACACGGAGTGGTTTCCAGGGAAGGTCCAAAATACAGGGTCACGAGGTGGACTCTTCAAAGGAAGGCCTGGGTGTGCAGGCCATATGGGTGGGGATGGTTCTTGATTCTTCTCAATGGAGTGGCTCTTTTAGTATTCAAATTCACGTTTGCAGACTGGTCTGGATACATATGGAACTGGTAATAACCAGTGTCTCTGTGGAGAAGGGCCAGGGACCTGAAATGAATGGGATATTTATTTTTCGTTGTGTGTTCTTTTGAATTATTGGCACTATTTCCCATGTCTATGTATCAAGTCTGCTTTTCTTTTAATTTATGAGATATTTCAAGCATATGAAGTCTAGAGGATAATAGAGCGAATACCATCGTATGGACCTGCTGGCCTTGACAAATCTTCCCATGTTGCCATAGATGATTGTATCAGAAAAGCCTGCCGTTTCCCACCTGTCTTTCTCCTTTTCTTTCACACAGAACACTTCCAACCCTTCTGCTCACCAGATGTGTGGGGGTTTGTTCACACCCAGGAAACCTGCAACCCTGGCCAGGCGTCCTGCACTTGAACTGAGCTCTTGATGCCATTTATTGTACTTGGGTGATGGAGTCAGACCCCACAGGATCAGGGCTCAGTTCCACAAGACTCCCCCCCACTCAGATGCCAGTCACAAGTATAAGGGCCCCAGGTCACCCACAACTTCTGTCGGACTTGACGACAAGGTTCCCATAACCTTCTCCCCTTTGTATTTGATCATTTGCTAGAACTCAGAGGAACACTTTCTTACGCTTCCCAGTTTATTAAAGGAAATGATGAAGGATACCCTGGAACAGCCCGATGAAGAGGTCCCCAGGGTGGGGTCTGAGCAGACCCCAAGCGCAGGAGCTTCTGTCCCCATTGAGTTGGGGTGCACACCCTTCTGGCACACGGGCGTGTTCACCAACCTGAAAGGTCTCCAAGCCCCGATTCTTTTTTTTTTTTTTTTTAAATATATATTTTATTGATCTTACACAGAGAGGAATTGAGAGGGATAGAGAGTTGGAAACGTTGATGAGAGAGAAACATCGACCAGCTGCCTCTTGCACACCCCCTACTGGGGATGTGCCCTCAACCAAGGTACATGCCCTTGACCGGAATCGAACCCGGGACCTTTCAGTCTGCAGGCCAACGCTCTATCCACTGAGCCAAACCGGTCTCGCTCCAAGCCCCGATTCTTTCAGATTTTCTACAGGGACAATCCTTTCACCTGCAAACAAAGATAGTTTTAGTTCCTCCTTCCTAATCTGTATACCTTTTATTTTATTTTCTTGCCTTATGTGAGCAAGCACTTCCAGTACGAAGTTGGAAAGCAGTGGTAAGAGGGGACATCCTTGTCTGGTACCTGATCTTAGTGGGAACGCTTTTTAGTTTTTCTGAAAATATTCTCTATCAAGTGAGGATGTTGCCCTCTTTTCCAAGTTTACCAAGAGTTTTAACCATGATTGTATGATTCTTCTGGTTTAGCTTATGTAATGGATTACAGTAATTTATTTTCAAATGGTGAACAGCTTTGCATACTGAGAATAAATCCTACTTAGTTGGGTATACAATTCTTTTTAGAGGTTGTTGGATTTGATTTGCTAATTTTTGTTGAGAACTTTTGCGTGTATGTTCACAAGGGACATTGGTCCGTAGTTTTCTTGTAATGTCGGTCTGGTTTTGGTTTTAGGATCATGCTGGCCTCATAGTATGAGTTGGGAAGTATTCCCTCTGCTTCTGGTCTCTAAGAGAGATTGTAGAGAATTGCCATAATTTCTTAAGTGTTTGGTGGAACAATTAGTTAATTTGGATGAATAAGAGGATCAATCTTGGTAGGAAGGTGCTGGGAGCCTGGATTCCACCATCTACTTCTCTCTTTTCACTGAGATACATGTATGGTTTCCACAGAACATACAGGTAGTTTGAAATCACTGACCTAGACTACAGATCAACAGAATTTTCTGTAGAGGTCTGGATGGTAAACATTTTAGGCTTTGGGCCACATGGTGTCTTTGCACCATCAACTGAGCCACTGTAGTGCACAAGCAGGTGCAGATAACACACGCGTGTGAGATGAAAGTGAGCCCTTGAAATATTCAACAAAAGAAGCCAGTTACAAATATCAATACTAGTAAAATAGTTCATGCTTATTGAGATGTCTATGTGCAAGGCCCTGTGTCCAGTGATTTCTGCGCATTATCTGATTTACTTCTCAGAACCACTCTAAGATATAAATGCAATGATCTCCAACTTACTGGTGGGGAAAACAGCAGCTCAGATAGTTTAAATGCCTCACCAGTAAGATCTGGAGCAAGGACCTGAAACCACGCAGTCTAGCACCAGAGCCTGAACTTTGAAACGCTAAGCTGCATTGCCTTTTATGTTTACCTCTATATGTTGCATAAGCCTGAGAAGGATCTGGAAGAACATCCACCAAAAAGCAAAAGGATTTTCTTTGTTGTGTGAAGAATGGGGGAGGGGTGATTTATATAAAAGGTTATAAAATTGTTTATAATTCTTCTGTATCATCAGAAGGTAACTACCCGTGTTTCCCCGAAAATAAGACATCTTCCGAAAATAAGACCTAGCGCATGGAAAGATAAGACATCCCCTGAAAATAAGACCTAGTGCAACTTTGGGAGAAAAAATTAATATAAGACACTATCTTATTTTCAGGGAAACAGGGTACTTCCATTAATAATAACACCAACAAATGAGGTACTAGGTCTTCTTATTTAGAAAGACCTGTCCAGTTCTAACATTCTAGACTTCCTCTAGCACCTGCTGTCTCTGGAGGTATCTGGTCTGAGGAAGAGGTGAGGGTGGGAGGACCTGAGGGGGTCTCGGGCCAGGAAGGGGAGTTTGGAGATCTTAGTGACTCCAGGTTGCTCCTCCTACTTTAGCCTTGACCCCTCCCTCCAGCCCTTCCTACCCTCTCCCTGGCTTCTCTGGCCTCTCTAATTACTAGGAACCTAGAGGGAATCATAGCTTCTGTTGAGACAAAGAAACAAAACAAAACAGAAGTTATACACCCACAAACGGCGACCTCAGTGAAGGCTTTTTCCAACTTGGGCCATGGGAGGGGCAGGGACAGCAGAGCAGGGGTCTGGTCTGATGTTGGGTGCGGCCTTGCTGCGGTCCTTTCTCAAAGTGGCAGGGTTCAGAGACCCCTTCTCAAACAGTAAGAGAGAGTGCGGCCCGGCCTGGGCAGCCTGTGCTGGGTGCTCTGTGCCTGGGAAGCAGGCCTGTCAGGAAGCAGATGAGTGGCCTGCCCAGCTTCCTCTGTCGGTGACCTTGACCCCTGGACTGGTCCGGCTCGTCCATGCTGAGTCAGGAACCGTGTGAGCTGGTCAGTGGGTGCCCAGAACTGCTTGCCCTTTGCCCAGTTTTCTCGGCTCCCACCATCTAAAGAGCCTCGACAAAGAGGCCAGTGATCAGCCTCCAGCTCAGCCCCTGAGGGAGGGCTGAGGAGGGCATTTGGGGATTCCTTGTGGCGTAGAGCAGAGAGGGAGGTGGGAGAGGAAAGGGAAGGCTGTTTGGCCTCCAAGGAACCACCATGGGGAAGGGCTAGACCAGTGGTCGGCAAACTCATTAGCCACCAGAGACAAATATCAACAGTACAACGATGAAAATTTCTTTGGAGAGACAAATTTTTTCAACTTAAACTTCTTCTAACGCCACTTCTTCAAAATAGACTCGCCCAGGCCGTGGTATTTTGTGGAAGAGCCACACTCAAGGGGTCAAAGAGCCGCATGTGGCTTGAGAGCCGCAGTTTGCTGACCCCGGGACTAGGCAGATGCCCCATGTGTCACGACAATCCCAGCCCAGTCGTGAGAAGTACCAGAGAGACGGGTGAGTTCAACACCAGCATCTTCCCTCACAGGGGTGCCCAGGGTAGAGCAAGCTGCTCCTGGCATGCTCTCAGGAGTGGCGTGCAGGTCAAGACTGAGGGCTGCTGAAACCGGTTTGGCTCAGTGGATAGAGCGTCGGCCTGCGGACTGAAAGGTCCCAGGTTCGATTCCAGTCAAGGGCATGTACCTTGGTTGTGGGCACATCCCCAGTAGGGGGTGTGCAAGAGGCAGCTGATCTGATTTTCTCTCATCGATGTTTCTAACTCTCTATCCCTTTCTCTTCCTCTCTAAAAAAAAAAAAAAATCAATAAAAATATATATATTTTAAAAAAAGACTGAGAGCCTCCAGCGGAGGGAGGGCTGTGCACGTTGGGCTGGGTGACCAGCTAGGTCTTCTTCGTCTCTAAGGTTCTGTAATGATAAGGACGATAGCCAAGTCGGGCACCCCTGTGTGCACACGTTCTCTCACTTGAATCTGAGAAGGCCTCGCTGCTATTGTTCCTATTTTACGGTGGAGCAAACAAGACCCTAGACAGGGAAGCAATGTGCCCAATCTCACACGGCTGGTGCCCGGCGGGCCGGGCTGACCCTCAGCCTCCAGAGCTTCATTCCTACCCAGGACACAGTCTGCCTCCCGCGGGGCTCTCCAGTGCTGAGGGATTAGGATGCTTGGAGCCCACAATAAGGAGACCAGTGGGAGATAACGTCCCCACTCCCCGAGGCTTTGATGTTTTATTTCAAGGCTGCCCTGGGCGGTCATGAGCTTCGCAGACCTTCCCCTCGCAGGAAGCAGATGGGAAACGTCCACTCAAACTATGTGGCCACCGCCCCTAACGCATTCTAAAAGCAGCTTGGAGGGACACACCCCAGAAATTACAGACTTGGGCTTTTCAAGAGACTGGCACCAATTAAAGGAGAATGCCACCAGAGGGCCACGTCCCGAACAACAACCGCTCACCTCCCACTAGACGCCCGAGGTTCCATTTTTACTTTTCAGTTTGCCAGGGTTGAACGGATCGAGATTTGAACGTTTCTGTTTTCAAACTTGATGCATGGAATGCCACCATCAAGCTGGAGGCAGGCGATGGCTCTTCAGTCGAGGTAGTCACCTGGGATCGCGATCGTTATGATCCCGGTTTACAGATGAGGAAACTGAGTTGCACAAAGGAATCGGTGACTTTCCCAAGGTCACGTCATTAAGTGGTGAAAACAGACCGAATACAGATGTGCTGACCTCGGAGCATGGCTTAGTGTCTCGGGGCCAGTCCACTGTCTCCTGGGGACCAGAGAGGATGAATGAGATTAATGCGAGGGCTCGAGGGACAAATGTCCTCCAAAGGCAGTTACTGCACAGACATCAAATGTTCCCTCAGGGCTGTTCTGTGGGCTGAGGGACTAGGCGCCTGGCCTGATCCTTGAAGACAGAAAAAACACGTGGACCGAGAGCTTTGCCACAACACAAGCTGGTGGGCCGAGTGCTGTGAGGGCTGAGAGGAAAGATAAATTACTTCCAGTTGTGGAGAGTTTCTCGGAGGCCGTGGCATGTAAGGGAGGGAAAGGAATCTGCACACAGAGACAAGGCTGAGGCCGAGGCGGGAGGCGGACGGAGGGCATCATTCCATACAGTGGGGCAGCGTGAACAAAAGGCAGACACCTGGGAAACACACAAGGGGGCGGGAGATGGGCTGGGTCCGTGCTGGGGGAGCACACATCTGCTCCCACTCCCACCCCTACCCCTGCCGAGGCGCCCGTCCTGCTGTGATCTCACGTGCTCTGCAGACAGCCCGCTGGGCGGCTGCCAGGCGTGGGAGCACCCCCAGCTCCTCTGGGGCCTCTGCTGGGAACTTGGACTCCAAGAGCCAGAGGGAAGGAGCTCCTCCCAAGACCACTCGCCCCAAGAGGCACCAGTGTCTCAACCCTCAGAGTTCCCAACGGGCCAGCTGGCCAGCCAGCCTGAACCGGGTCTCCGGGGGAAGCTGTGAAAATGGAAACTGCCCCAGTTCCTGTTCCCAGAGCCTGCAGGAACAGGCTTCTCCAAGGACGTATAAATCCAGAGGACACTGCCATCCTGTGGCCCAGAAACCCAGACACCAGGAAAGCTGGGAAAGGCCCTGTGCCCCTGAGGGATCACAAAGCTGGAAATGGCGGGGACTGAATTTCATAATGAAACCAAAGTAACGTGGGCATACATTTCAGTCAAAACCAAGTCCCGTTTCTGGCTGCCAGGTTCCCGAGGTGCAGGGGTTGTGTATTGTGCAGATGAGGAAACTGCCTCCTGGAGAGATTAGGTGACTGGGCCAAGGTCACATGTGGCCAAGTACATAGCCAGGTCTTACCACAGGGTCCCAAGTCTCTGCCCAATAAATGGTTAATGGTTAAAGCCGTGATTCTCAACATGTGGTCCCCAAGACCTTCCAGAAGATACAGGAGGTAAAAACCATTTCCATAAGATACCTTCTTCTCTCCTACAATCATACAGTGAAATTTCCAGAATAGACTAGTAAGTGCTGTGCAGTGACCTCATCTTGTCCCAGTCGCTGATGGGATGTGTGCTCATGTTCTCTTGTGTTTCAAAAGCTCCTGTTTTAATTTCTAATATAGCATAGCTCATATATAACCAAGAGCCCTCGGAGAGAATAATTTTGAAGAATATGAATGGGCTTTAGGATAAAAAAGTTTGGCTCAGTAGATAGAGCGTTGGCCTGTGGACTGAGGGGTCCTGGGTTCTAATCCAGCCAAGGGCAAGGGAGGGGGGTGCAGGAGACAGCAGATGGATGTCTCTCTCATTGATGTTTCTAACTCTCTAGCCCTCTCTCTTCCTCTCTGTAAAAAAAATCAATAAAATATATATTAAAAAAAAAAAGTTTGAGAACTGCTGGTTTAAAGAAATATTTCAAAAAAATAAAGTTACCCAAACTGAAATATCCCTTGTTTTGATCTAGATTAGGGGTGTCGAACTCAATCAGAGAAGGGGCCAAAATCTAAAATCCAGCCTAAATCGCGGGCTGAATGGTTTACTGAACAGTCATAAACTGTCATTGTTATGGAAACGCAGCGGAGTGCAGTGATGACAGCGAGGTGCGGGCCACATTGCAAGGCCTGGCGGGACGGATTTGGCCCGCGGGCCTTGTGTTTGACACATGTGATCTAGATGAAACAACTTTATGCTGCGAGGCACTGATTTTTAGGTTGATCCTAATCCTTAGGCTGATTTACATTGTAACTAACATTTCTACAGATTAATGAAACACACAAAAATACATATGTGAGTAGAGAATGGTTACTGAGTGACTTCTAAAGGGCAGGGTCTTCTCTAAGTGATCTATATGTGTTCCTTCATCTAATCTCCACCCACCATCTGCAGGAGATGCTATTATCACATTTTATCCTGTGGACACTGAGGGGCTGAGTGGCCCAGCTGAGGAGTACATATGTTTGGAATCTGTCCCAGGCAGTCTTCACTGCCTCTTCCCCCTTTTTTCTGTATTAAAATTTGACATTCACTTGATAGGACAAAAGATTTTCAAAAAATGGAATCCAAGGAAGCAGTGAAAAGAAATACGATCACCAATCTGACCCAACACCTTCACTTTATACATGAGAAAAAGCGAAGGTCAGAGAGGGTAAGTGACTTGTAAAATATCACACAGCAAAGCATCCAAATCCACTGGGTTTCTTACTTCCAGGGAGGAGCTCTCAGAAGTAAACACTGCAGTTACCTCCTTCATAGCAGCGTGAGCATCACAGCACAGCGTGTAAGCAAGTGACACCAGGACTACATCCGAGACAACATCAACAAAAGCAGTTTGACTTTATTGCAGGGAAGCTAGGGAGGAGCAGAGCAGTGAGGGTCTCCGCAGGAACTCCCAACGTGGGGCAGGATTGCCAGGTTCCAGACCTGTCTGGAAGGCAGGAGAGGAGCAGGGTCCTGGAAAAGACGAGACGTTAGTTGGGACAAGGGCGCCATCTGCTGTGCACGTGGATGCATTGCAGAAGTAGTCAAGTTATGGGAGGGGATGTGGGAAACCAGGTGCTGGACAAGACCCAAAAGCCCAGTGTCTAGCTCTGCTCACTGCTCCTTATCTGTGGTTTCCAGCTTGACTGGAGCCCAGTGACCTTGCTAAGCCAATCACAGCCGAGGCCTCTTCTGGGGACCTCTGGGAGCTGTTGGGACAGCACTCCCTGTCCCGCTTCAACTTACACTGGGAAGGCAATGAACGGCATCTGGGGCAAACAAACCCGCCAAGAGATGGTCACGGTGACTTCATAACCAGCTCTTGTTCCCAAACCTGAAGTCAGTCACTGGGGGCCCTCAAGCAGACTCTCAAGCAGACTCAGACAGACGGGATGCTGCCTGGGTGCGTAGGGCAAAACGCTTGATGGGCGATTCTCACCCAGTGCCATGAACCGAATCTCAGGGAGCCTTCCTGTACTACACACGGTTACTGACCTACGTGGGACCGTATAGGCGGGGGGCGCACAGATGAAATAATAATAGCAGTGACTGGACAATGGCTGGATCTGGGTGATGGGCACATGGGGATTCATTTTTACAACTTTGCTCGTAGGTGTGTGACACTTCTTACAATTTTAAAAATATAATAAAAAATCCAAAATAAATAAGAACTATGAGCATTCCCCAGCCACAGAAAGGAATGAAACACTGACCCATGCTACGCTTGAATAAATCTTGAAAACATGGTGCTAAGTGTAAGAAACAATACACAAAAGGTCACGCATTGTATGATTCCTTTTCTATGACATGTCCAGAATAGGTGAATCCAGAGGTGGAAAGGCTAGTGATTGCCAGGAGCTGGGGTGAGGAGAGGGCAGTGCGGAGAGATTGCTTAATGGGTACAGGGAATTTTTCTGGGGTGATGAAAAACTCTGAATCTAGGGAGATGTGGTGATTATATGACATTATGAATACACTAAATGCTGATGAATGATACACTTGAAAATGGTTAATGGCATGTCATGTGAATTTCACATCAATTTTTAAAAATACTATGAGAATGCCGAAACCGGTTTGGCTCAGTGGAAAGAGAGTCCGCCTGCAGATTGAGGGGTTCCAGGTTCGATTCCAGTCGGGTGCATGTACCTTGGTTGCGGGCACATCCCCAGTGGGGGGTGTGCAGGAAGCAGCTGATTGATGATTCTCTCTCATTGATGTTTCTAACTCTATCCCTCTCTCTTCCACTCTGTAAAAAATCAATAAAATATATTTTTAAAAAAATACTATGAAAAAAAAAACATTAAGCCAAGCATGGTTTACAACTGGCAGGTATTAAAAAATTCACATAATGAACCAGGCCGGGAGGTTCCAATTCAGTGTGGGCACTGGGGCTCCCCGTGTGTTTGACCAGCTCAGGAAGCTTTTGTCTTCCCTCCCTCCGTCCATCCCTCAGCCCCCCACAGAACCTTAAGGATGCAGGGATAACACGACACTGGTCCGCAGCACCTGGAGCTGCCAGTCTCTTTGAGAGATTTCACAGTAACCCCTGCCAGGCAGGAAAGCAGCAGAGAGCTGTGGCCCCGTTTTACAGAAGGGAAGACCGAGTCTCGGCATGTAAGCAGAAGTGTCCAAAGTCACGGTGTGCAATGAGGGTGGGGCTGGAATCAGAATCCTGGGATTCTGACCATTCATCCTGTGCTCATCCTGAATGTGGGTTGTAGCCATCAGCATGAGGTCACTATATTCACAGGACACTGCTCTGGCCCAGATCCCAATGGGCACCTTTAGGAAGGAGGCTGTGCCCTCGGGGACGGACGTGGCCCACCGGTCCGCTGTGGCTGGCCGCCTCTACCTGGGGGGCTCTCCACAGGCCACTTGGGACAATGCCATCAGCCATTACAGATCTCGGGTTGAGGATTCTTGGCTCCCATCCTGCCTCTGCCATTCACCTGGATGGGGCTTTCGTCACGCCACTTCCCTTCTGCTGGCCTCACTTTCCTCAGCCACAGTGAGCGCAGGGATGTGGCAATCACCGCCATTCCCGCAGCCCACGCACTACGTGGGGAGTGACAGCCGGGAGGCTGTGCCGTGTAGGGCTCTGAGGCTGTGGCTGGGCGCAGAGGGCATGCTGGGTGGACCAGTGCTGTCTGCCCTGGTTCCCTAGTGAGGAGCGCTGGCACAGTGCCTCTTACTGGCCTCATGGATTTCAGAAAATCAGCGGGAATATCCACGCCACTGTTCTGCATCCGTCTGCATACCTTCCTGGTGAGCACACAGAGAGCACAAGGCCCAGGGCACCTCTGATGGACAGGCAGCTTATCAAAGCAGAAAGCACGCTGCTCAGGGTCACTGCTACTTAGACCTGGCTGATTGTGAAATGCATCCGTGTCATACAGGCGGCTCTGGGAGACGTGGCCCAGGGCAACCTCTACTCACAGGCGCTGCGAGGGTTCCCTGGACACGTGATGTGCATTAGATAATGAGCTATTCTGGCAGAGTGCCGGGGCCTCACCCACCTGCCCACTCTGGTCCATCCTGTGGGCTGGGGGCCCAGGCCCTCACTCTTTGGGGCCGATGTAGTTAACAGTCTTCCCTGTTTTCTTCAGCGTCTCCAGCAGAGTGTCCACGCTGTGCTCAGAGTCGATGACAACCTTCTTGTTGGGCAGGTCGATCTCAAACTCAACTCCTGCAGGAAGAGGAAGAAAGAGAGTTCAGGCTCTGAAATTCTTACTCACAACCACTCTTCCCCTTTCCGCCAGAGCAGGGGTTGGGGAAACTCCCTGTAAGGCTGCAGTTTGCCAATCCCTGCTCTAGACCAGGGCTTCTTTTAAATGTCTTTTTAACTGCAAAAGTAGTAGAGACAGCCTGACTGGTGTGCTCATTGGTTAGAGCATTGGCCCGGCACCCAAGGGTCATAGGTTCAATTCCTGGTCAAGGGCATGTACTTCGGTTGCAGGTTCACTACCTGTCCCAGTCCAGGTGCATGCACCTGGCAACCAATCAATGTGTCTCCTCAGTCCCCTGCTGAAGGACACTGACATTGCCTCTAGCTCCTCACTGTTACCACAACAGGGTAAACGTAGGTGAACGTGTCTTATAAAACCTTCGAAAGTATTTCTGTCCCGTGCCTTCACAGAATCGAAATCGTTTGCAACCTGGCACGATGGTAACTGCTATTGCAAAACTGCCCTCTTCAAGGGCTTCAAGCCCCCGAGCGGCACATGGGAGTAAGCAGAACGGGTCTTGTTGAGACAACAGAACGCAGAGGGAGGGCCCCTGGCAGGTTCTAGGTGTGGCTTCACCACTGACTTGCTGGGTCCTGCCCAGGATAGTCCTCAGTTTCCCCATCTGTACTGAAGGAGCTGGGTTGGCCAGCCCCAATGGTCTTTTCGAGTTCAGGTATGCTGTTCGTCTGTGATTCCTCAGGGCCCCAACTAACTTGTAACCTTTCTGATCCATCTCAAAAGGCTGCCCAAATGAGGGAAAGTAGTAAAAAGTGGGGAGAAACCTGCCCAAATTCAAGAGCAGATCCCCAAGCCTCGGACAAAGGGCCCTGACCATCACATGGCACAAGGCTGAGTGATTAGGTACAAATTCCTAATGACACTGGGAGGGAGTGCTATAATGTATCCGTGCTCCACTCTGGGCTTTTTCTTTTGGTTCAGAAGTGTCTCCCTCCTCTTTGGAATAAGGTTTGGGGTGTGATAGAGCTGGGAGAAGCCCTGGGACCATCTAACACAGGGGGTTTCAAATCTGCCGCCCCGGTTCCTGGGCAGGTGTCCTCATGTGCAGAGTGGCCCCCTCGTCTCATCCAGGCCGAGCCACTCTGTCTAGGTATAGGGGTGTTGAACTCAATCAGAGACGGGGCCGAAATCTAAAATCCAGCCTAAATCGCGGGCCGAATGGTTTACTGAACAGTCATAAACTGTCATTGTGATGGAAACGCAGCGGAGTGCAGTGATGACAGCGCGGTGCGGGCCACATTGCAAGGCCTGGCGGGACGGATTTGGCCCGCGGGCCTTGTGTTTGACACATGTGGTCTAGGAGGCGCTTCTGAGCAGAAGCTCACTCCGAGAATCCACAGCAAAAGCAGACACAGGCTGACATCCCCATATTGCAGTCGGGGAAACTCAGGCCGGTGGGAGAAGAGGCCAGTCATGTGACAGGTCAGCAGCCAGGTTCTTTCCACCGTTTCTTTCAGATCCTAGTTACCAGGGCTAGAAACCAGCCAGCGACTCACTGGGAATCTGGGCAAGTCCCTTCCCCTTGGGGCACTGGCGTCAACAGCCCCATTCCACAGAAGGAATGCACCGCTCCGAGGACCTGCTGCAAGTGCTGCCCAGAGCCCACCCACGCGGAAGCCCCTTGGGAAGGGGGTGTTATCATCATCTAGCCCAGTGGTCGGCGAACTCATTAGTCCACAGAGCCAAATATCAACAGTACAGTGATTGAAATTTCTCTTGAGAGCCACATTTTTTAAACTTCAACTTCTTCTAACGCCACTTTTTCAAAACAGACTCACCCAGGCCAGTGGTATTTTGTGGAAGAGCCACACTCAAGGAGCCACATGTAGCTCAAGAGCCGCAGTTTGCCGACCATGGATCTAGGGTTTTAAAAGTGAAAATCTTGGAAGAAGGACTGCCACAGCACTACTGGAATTCTGTTCGCAGCTCGGCCATTACTTCCTGGAGCCCCAGGGCCAGCCCTCAGCACTCCCTGGGCCTCAGTTTCCCCAGCTCAGAGTGGAAGGAGCTGAATGAGAACAAAGATTTTCTAAATATGTCCCAAAGAGGTGCTTTAGGAGTTCTACACATGACTTTTTCTAAGTTTACTTTTTAAATTGTTACCATTTAAAAAATCTTAATAGAAACGGGCACTCAAATGTGTCATATGACAAAAGCGATCCCACTGGAGATCACCAACGTACTGACTCATACCGACAGGGCTCCGGAGCAGGACGGAATGGCCAAATCCCAGCTCTGCCACTTACTGGCTACAGGCTGTGTGATCCCAGTCAAGTTACTCAACCTCTCTGAACTTCAGTTCCCTCCTGCTATCACGGAGATAGTCTAAGAAGCTACCTAGCCCTATCCCGTTTGGCTCAGGAGATAGAGCATTGCCTGGATTGCAGTCTTGGTCCCTGTACGAGTCAACTAATCCATGTGTTTCTCTCTCTTTTTGTCTCTTCCCCCTCCCTCCCACTCTCTCTCTTAAAAAAAAAAAAAATCAATGGAAAAATATCCTTGGGTGAGGATTAACCAAATCAAAAAAGAACTGCCTAAATGGTGGTGAGGATTAAATGAAAGCCAGTAAGAAGAGTACCTGGCACATGCTAAGCACCCAATACGTCTGAGTTGTGCTGTTATTATCACCTTCAACCCAAACTCCTCCTGCTCCATGTCTGCAAGCATTTGGACACAATATGAAGTGTACTGGCCACCCCCACCTCAGCCCCAACCAAGGGCCATTCACTCACCTCCTAGCTTGTTGAGGACCCGAGCGACAGCGTTAGAACAGCCTTCACAAGTCATCTCTACACAGAACTCGTGCTTCTGAAATAAACAAAGGGGACCATGAGCCAAGACCTGCAGGCAGACCCACATACCCCACCAGCACGCAGGCCCACTCAAGGGCAAGGACAAGGTCTGGCTGTCGTCAGATTCACCCGTAGCCTGTTTCTGGGCCCCACTCTCTTCAAAATGGAGTAACTAAGGATTTCTGTTATCTCACAGGCTGCTGCACTAGGTGAGATAATCCCTACAGCTCCTTTAGCAGTGTCTGGCACTCAATAGTTCAATCAGCTGGGAAGCTAGTTTAGTGTTGGTTTCTGCCCGAGCTGGTTTGGCTCAGTGGAGAGAGCATTGGCCTGCACACTGAAGGATCCTGGGTTCGATTCCAATCAAGGGCACATGTCCAGGTTGCATGCTTGATCCCCAGTTGGGGGCATACAAGAGGCAGCTAATCAATGCTTCTCTCTCATCATTGATGTTTCTCTTTCTCTTCCCCCCCTCACATCCTCTCTGAAACCAATAAAAAAATATGTATTTTTTTTAATGTTAGTTTCTAGTCTCACCTTCAAAATCCTGATTCTTTTGTATGTATATATATATATATATATATATTATTTGATATTTTACAGAGAGGAAGGGAGAGAGATAGAGAGCTAGAAACATCGACGAGAGAGAAACATCGACCAGCTGCCTCTTGCACACCCCCCATTGGGGATGTACCCGCAACCAAGGTACATGCCCTTGACCGGAATCGAACCCGGGACCCTTCAGTCCGCAGACCGACGCTCTACCACTGAGCCAAACTGGTTTCGGCAAAATCCTGATTCTTGAGGTCTTATACCCAAGGTATGGGCAAGTGGTTTTTTTTTTTTTTTTTTTTTTTTTAATATATTTTATTGATTTTTAACAGAGAGAAAGGGAAAGAGATAGAGAGTTAGAAATGTCAATGAGAGAGAAGCATCGACCAGCTGCCTCCTGCACACCCCCTACCAGGTAGGTGCCCGCAACCAAGGTACATGTCCCTGACCGGAATTGAACCTGGGACCTTTCAGTCCGCAGACCGAGGCTCTACCACTGAGCCAAACCAGTTTCGGAGCAAGTGGGTTTTTAATATCCAAGTCCAGACTAGTACCAGGAATGCTCAGGCCCTTCTCAAGAAGGCAAATAATCCTCTCCACTAATACACACATGATAAAATAAGATAGTTGTCAGAGTGTTGAGTTTGACAGTTGAATAGTAGCCAGCTTCTCAGAGGAAATTAAATTGGCTAATGGAAATAAGCGACTATTCTATAAAAACTGATTTCCGGTCAAGGGCATGTACCTTGCTTGAGGGCACATTCCCCAGTGGGGGGTATGCAAGAGGCAGCTGATTGATGTTCTCTCCCATCCATATTTCTAACTCTCTATCCTCTCTTCCTCTTTGTAAAAAATTAATAAAATATATAAAAAGAAAAAGACTACATTATAAAATTTCCAAAAGCCTCCTATTATTTAAATTAAAAAAGGGGGTGACAGTGGAAAAATAACATGTAAGAAAAAATATCCTGCGAGTAAATTACATCTAGAAAATTTGTACTTTAGAAAATTAACCTTCATTTGAAATGCTAAGAGTAAGATACTCAAGAAAATACACACCATGTCAAAACAAGCCAGAGAAAAATCATTTGGGGGAGAAAAAAAAGAAAAAAAGAAAAAGGATCCCAAGTCAAATTTATAGAAAATATCCCTTTATTAACTCTTGGTCGAGAATATGTTTGTATATTTTCAGAAAACAACTCCAAGACCATCTGGATTCCTGCAACAGAAAGGAATTGACAGGAGTGCTCCAGCCATGAAGAGAGAAGAGAAACAGTTCAGAGATGGAAGACGTTGACAATGCCTCGCCATACTAGCAGTCAGCAGCTGTGTGTCACTGAAGGATGCCCAGGACCAAACCAGAGACGGTTGGACCTACATCACCTCCATTTGTCCACCAACCAGATCTGAAATATCATGGCTGACATGTACCCATAAGGAACTGTTTGACATTGAAATTGGGACTCAGAAGAACTGTTGGCCCAGAAAGGAACTCACTACAGACTGATTCATTTGCCTCTCAGGATAATCATTATGGCTTATTCAGTTTCGGTTCTTACAAGGGTATTTCTTAGAGATCACATGATCTCACACATCTAGAGGAAATAAAGAACAACAGAAACTGATGAACAAAAACAGACCCAGAAAAAGAGAAGCAACGATCAGGCTCTCAAACCTCAGAGGGAAGGTAGGGGAGGGTGGGGGTAAAGGGGAGTGATCAACCAAAGGACTTGTGTGCATGCATATAAGCCTATCCTCCTATTATTTAAATTAAAATGGCCTAAGTGGCCATGGACAACAGGGGGGTGAGGGCATATGTGGGGAGGGGTGTGGGATGGGAATGGGGGGATGAGGACAATTATGTGATACCATAATCAATAAATAAAAAAACAAACAAAACAAAACAAAAAAACACCAACAACAAAAATCCTGATTCTTGAGCTATGGGGCTACCTCAGGACCACCGAATGTGACATGGTTGGACGCCCATCCTCGGAGCCATGCTGGTCTGGTTGTCTTATTTATGCATCGCAGATCAGCTGCATTAGAATCACCAGGGAGCTTGCAAAAACTATAGGTTCTGATGAGCAAGTGTAGGCTGGGGTATGTACAAGGGCAAGGAAGCTTCCCTGGTGATTTTGATATACAGTGACCACTGCTCTCATCCAAACGCCTCATTCTCAGAGGCAGCCCTAATGCCTGAGAAAAGAGTGGGTTTGCATGGGAAGCCAGGCTCCTGGTCTCTTCCTGCAGGCCTGATACCCACAGTCTCCATGATCTCCAACACACTGAGCTCCCAGAAGACAGAGACTTGGTCCACGTCATTGCTGCATCTCCAACAGGGGCACAGCTCGGAGACAGTGCAAGTTTGACGCCAGACCACCACAGCCCGACGGGTATCGCAATAAAGCAAGTTGCAATCTTTGCCTGGAAAGGGAGATGGTCACCTTACTTTACTCAGGAGGAAACTGAGGTCCCAGGGGTTCAACTGCCCACAGTCCTGTGGCAGGCATGTGCTGAGGCTGGGATGTGAACCCAGGCTTTCCTGGCTCCGGGGACATCTTGTTGGTTCTGGACCAGCAATCAGCACTGCCACCTACCATCCCTCCCCCAACTCTGACCCGTGGCAGGAGCTCTGTGAGTGAGCACACCTCATGAGGTAGCATGGGTTTCTGCTGCTGAGGGTCTAAATCATCAGCTACCTGCAGCTTTCTTCTGCAGACTACAGACAGGCCTCCTTCCATCCTCACAGTGCGGCGGCCGAAGCCAGCAGGAGGCTTCTGGGTGGCAAACATTACAGTCCAATGTTCTCCCCCTCCACTTGAAGTGCAAAAGCAAATTTGGGGGTGGTGGAAAAATCTACTTGATGGACAGCATACGACCTTCTTCACAGAGAATCCCAAGACCGGCCCACTGCCCAACACTTGACTTTACGCAGCTCCAGCCCTTCAAAGCCTCTGATCTGTCACCTGAAAATGGGTCCTTTAAAGTCGATGAAAAAATCCAGGAAGCTGTACAACTCTATCACAGGATCTCAGAACTGGGAAGGCGGGACTAGAGTGGGGTCACATGGTCCAGAAGGGATTCTCTCAACTCTCCAAGACAGTTGGGTTTTGAACACCCGGAATACTGGGAGGTTACTACTGGTAATGTTTGAGTGCCTCCTCGGTGCCAAACTTTTGTTCTCTAAGCGCCTTCCGTGAATTACACTGTTTAATCATCACAACAACCCCATGAGTTAATCACTGTAATTATCCCTTCTTGACAAATAAGAAAATGGAAGTTCAGAAGTTTGGCCACTCACTCAGTGTGACAGAGCTAGTGAGTAGCAGGGCCTAGGCCGGACCTAGTCTCCAAAGCCTGAACTCTTAATCACTGTGGTCTTTGTGCTAAAATGAGGTTTGAAATCTGCCTGCCTATAGTTCTACCCTACTTGTTCTAAACACAGGAGCTACCATTTCCTGTGGGCTGGCTATGTCAGTGGCTGTGCCAAACATGTTAGTGGCATTTTTCCAGTTAACACTAACAACAGTCCCGAGAGGTCAGTTTTTGTTGTTATTGTTGTTTGTTGCTTTTTAATATATATATTTTTATTGATTTCAAAGAAGGAGAGGGAGAGAGAGAGAGACAGAAACATCAATTATGAGAGAGAATCATCCATCGGCTGTCTCCTGCACACCTCCCACTGGGGATCAGGCCCACAACCCGGGCATGTGCCTTAGACTGGAATCGAACCTAGGACCCTTCAGTCCGTAGGCTGATGCTCTATCCACCGAGCCAAACCAGCTAGGGTCTGGGACGTCAGTTTTTATCAGATGAGGAAATCAAGGTGCAGCTTAACTGAAGTCATGTGGTTGGCAAGCAGAAGCACAGATTTTTCAAAAAGGTTTTTGAGATTCCAAGTGCCTGGGAAACCTCTCCGGTGACATTCCTCCCCCTCCTTCCTTCAGCTGTTCATTTCGTAACATAGCACCAAGTGCCCTCCACACACGTCATCCCTCTGAAGGGTCTTTTGTTTGTCAAAATCCCCAGAAGTGAGCACAGAACAGTGATCCCCCAGCTGGCCTTCCTCTCACCACCACGCCCCACAAAAACCTGGTGGCCTCCATCACCCGGGTCCCAGGGCGATTAATGCCGTTCTGTAACATTTGCTCAACTGGGAGGGCAGATCCTGTCAGGTTCTTAGTCCCTACTTTGCGTTGCCTGAGGATTTGTCTCAAGGCACCTGCCAAGACCCAAGGGAAATGACACCTGAGATGTTTGTGGCTTGACCCAGGGGGCCTCTGGCTCACCCGCCAGCTTCCCCAAAGCTAGGCTGCTAAGACACAGGGCACCGGTGAGACACCTCTGAGTACTCACTGGGGGCAGAGCTGAAAAGGAGGCACCATGGGGGGGTGGAAGTTCTATACACCACGTGACCCAACCAGGATCTCTAGGATGCAACTGGGAGCAAAGGTTCCTCCCTAGCCAGTGTGACTACTTCTGTCTGCGCATGGCCAGGCCAGAAGAGACGGGAAGTCTGAAGATAAGGGGATTAAGGCTGGCTCCATCCAACTCTCAAGACCTTAAGTAAATTATGCTTTGGTTTTTGTTTTCTTGTATTTGCAAAAGGCTTTAATTCCTTTTTTTTTTTTCCCTTCAAATTATAATAGAAAGTTAGAGGTAATGTAAGTGAGCCAGCTGGGCTTCTAAAACAAGTTACAGAAGCAAAAGAAGGGCCCTTGGAGCTTAGGAGAATGGTAAGGAGGGGGAGGGGGGGTTGCCGGGAGGATGAAGAAAAGGATGGGAAAGGCAGGGAGTGTGCTCTGGAGAGAGGGAAAGTGAGCCAAAAGGCCTTAAATTGATTTTGAAAGAGAGGAAGAAGAGGGAGAGTGAAACATCAATGTGATAGCGATATGTCAATCGGCTACCTGGGATAAGCCTGCAACCGCACGTGCCCTGATCAGTAATGGAACCGGCAATCTTTTGGTGCCAGGGAGTCGCTCAACCTACTACGTAAGCCAAACCAGCCAGGGCATGATCTTAATTTCTTATCTACAAAATGAGGCCGGGAGCAACCAGAAATATGCAGAAAGGCTGACTGGGCTGCACAGACCAACGAAGACCTGCTCATGCCTTCCCAAACTCTGCCAATGGGCAACTGGAGACTTTGGGCAGGTCCCTGAACCTCTCCGGGGCTCATTGGTTCAAGTTCAGCAAGTGGCCGGGGAAAGTCCTGGGTCCATTCAGTGACTCCCTGGACAGAGTGGGCGGGGAAGGGAAGAAAAACACGGACCTCTGAAAACCTACCTAGTCCGAAAGGCAATAGCCACCCTCCTCCCCCCACCGCCCGCCCCTCTCTCCCAGCCCGCTCCCCGGACCGGCGTGTCCAGGTGGAGGGGACCCGGACAGGGACAGGGACCGGGACCAGGTCCGGCTCGCCACCCACTCCCGGGTGAGCTTGGGCTGCTCTTCTCCCGGCACCCCCTCGTCTCTGCAGGGAAGGACTGGGCTTGTAATCGCTGGAGGCCTTGCAGTTTCGATGCTTTGGAGCCTGACTTCAACATAAAAACCCCTTTCAGCATTCGGTTTTCCCGAGCGGCGGCGAAGCAGGGGCTGGTGGGGAGGGCTGGGAAGAGGGGCGATGGCTCTGGCTGCGCCCGAGCCCTGGATGAGCAGCATCTGGCCATGCAGACGTGCAGCCGCGGGCTGCATGGGGCCGGGGCGGGCGGCCACTTACCGGCATGACCGAGGGTGTCGGTGGGCGGCGGCGTGGACGCTTCTCTGGGTTCTGTCCGCTGGCGCTGCTGAGCTTCCGGGCGAGCGTGCTGGGCAGCCGCCCGCAGGCCAGGCCCCGCCCCCGCCCCTCCCCTGGCAGTTAGGCCCCGCCCCACCCTGAGCTACCGGCCCGGTTGGCCCTTCCGCCTCCTTCTGGTGGGCGTGGCTGGGACACCCGCCACTTGTGAGGGAGGCTGCGAGCTGGACTGGCCCCAGCCTCCTGCTGGCCTTTCTTAGAAAGCTTGTTTCCTTTCAGGGTTGTTTTAGGGGCTGGAATATAGGGCCCCTGAGTTAGTGCCCAGGACAGATCCCGGTTTTTCCCTAAAGCCGAGGTCTGCAAACTCATTAGTCAACAGAGCCAAATATCAATAGTACAACGATTGAAATTTCTTTGGAGAGCCAAATTTTTTCAATTTAAACTTCTAATGCCACTTCTTCAAAATAGACTCGCCCAGGCTGTGGTACTTCTGTGGAAGAGCCACATTCAAAGGGCCAGATAGCTGCATGTGGCTCGCGAGCTGCAGTTTGCCAACCACAGCCCTAAAGGGACAGCCTCATGTGTTCACTAAGTCACTATTAAGAGTGAGTCACAATGCAGAAGTGGAAAAGCAGGGAGCCAAGGAAGCGTGTGAAATTGCAGTGTTAACGGAGTCGTGTCATGGGAGCAGGAAAGGCTTACTCAGACTGGAGTGTGGGTGGTGGGGGCCTGGGAGGAGTAGGGGGTTCTGGAAGAGAGCAGACTTGTGCAGGAGGGATATCTGAGCTTAGGAAGAGTGAGTGCACCTTCATCTGGTCTGGGGGTGGAAGAGCCTTTCCCCCACTTCCAAGGTGCTTTCTGCTGGTCTAATAATTGCGTTGTCATGAGGCAGATTAATGAGAGGAAATAACCCAATTTAGTAACATATCAATGTATGGGAACCCAACGTACCTGAGAGAGCCGGAGACCCCATGTCCAAGAGAGTTCTGAGAGACAGGAAATGACGAATCTATGGCATTCTGAGCTAAGGATGAGGTCAAGTACTCAGAGCTTCAAAGGCAAGGAAGGTCATTCTCAGAATAAGAAGAGCAGGAAGAAAAAAAAAAAGAGCAGAAGTTTAGTAATTAGAAATTTGCCCTAACATACAGATAGGTCATAGAAAGTTATTTCTGGTCATAAATCTTATTTTGGGCAAAGTCCCTCATTTAAATTCTTCTAGGTAGTAGGGGGGTGGGGGGACGTGGAGGCACACAAGTTTCTCCTGAGTGTAACAGGGCTCAGTTGTCTTTAGCAGAAAATAATCCACATATCCAAGAGGCTCATCTTGGGGTAACTGATTGTGAGGCCCTACATGATGAAAGTAGATGAGAAATTTGGGAAGGAGGGAGGCAGACAAAATAACAAGTACAAAACTGGGAAGACAAGTGTGAGCATGGTTTGAGAGGTGGAGATATTCAGACTGAGAGGCAGACACAGGGAGATGGGTGTTGTGGGGTTGAACCCTGGGTTCAAAATAAGACCACTGGAGGATGAAGATTAATTAAAAAAGCAGGCAAGGGTTTATTGAAAAACTGGCCAGGATGGCGGCGGGAGCACCACATGCGGGTGGGCCCCACAGGATGGCACTGATCCAGGTGTAGGCAATCCCTTTTAAAGCTTCAAACAACAGGAATTTCCCTTTGTTCTAAATTCTAAAGGCTGGGAACATTGGAATGTGGCCCTATCTTGCCCACAATACAAAAGCAGAACTCAGAGGTTAATCTCTAAAGCTTATCTATAGTTTCTACCCCTGAAGCTACTGAGTCAGTGGGAATCAATCTCCTTAACTACCCTATTGTTTAAGCAAGTAATCGAAGGTCAAAGTCAGATAGCAAGATTAAAATTCAAACAACATTTTTTACCCAAGTATGATTGCTACCATATTTCAATGGGAAAATGAAACAACAGCCATAGGTGAAGGCAGATGGAGGCAGATGCTGTAGGTCACTTCCAGAGAAACAGACATGCCAACATTTCGAACTTCAGACACACACACACACACACACACACATACATACATACATACACATACACACACACAAAACACACACAAAAAAACCTTAGATTGAGCCCTTGCTGGGTAGCCAGTTGGTTAGAGCATCATCTTGATATGCCACAGTTGCAGGTGCAATCCCTGTCAAGGCACGTACAAGAATCAACCATTGCCTGACCAGCACGGCTCAGTGGTTGAGCGTCAACTTATGAACCAGGAGGTCATGGTTGGATTCCAGGTCAGGGCATATGTTGGGGTTGTAGGTTCAATCTCTATTGGGGGGCATGCAGGAGGCGACCAATGGATGATTCTTTCTCATCATTGATGTTTCCATCTCTCTCTTTCTCTTCCTCAATGAAAATATTTCTAAAATTATTTTTTTAAAAGAATCAACCAATGAATAAATATGTATAATAAATCAATCTCTTTCTTTCTCCCATCCTCTCTCTCAAATCAATTAAACATACAACACACACACACACACACACACACACACACACACACACACCAAAAAACCTCAGATTTCTAGCCCTGGTTGGGTAGCTTAGTTGGTTAGAGCACTGTCCCAATACACCAAAGTTGCAGGTTTGATCCCTGGTCAGGGCACATATAAGAATCAACCAATGAATGTATAAACAAGGGGAATAACAAATCAATGATCTTTCGCTCTCTCAATTCAATATATAAAACTTAAAAACAAACAAACAAAAAAAAAACACCCTCAGATTTCTAGGCCTCAGCCTGGTTACATTGCCTCTGAATTTCTAGGCCTACTTTTAGTCCCCCAACCCCCTCCTTTTGGCTTGGGGAACCACTGGATTTAGAAAACTATAATCTTAACACATGAAACCTTTTTGTGATAGTGTGCTGGTTATTATCTCTCAGCTCCAATTCATCCTTTTTGCCTACTCTGTGAAAATGCATCTGGACCATTACATGTTTTTCCTTTGCCCGCTGGCAGGATGTTGAGCTTCCTCAGTCAAGTTTTTGTAGAGACACTGGGAGGGGAAAGGTTTTCCTTCCTGGTCTCTGTAGAGGGCCCCTTGGGAATGCACATGGATAACCTTTAAATTAATGTCAGCTAAGTCCGAGGCGACTGGCGAGGCCGTCCAGGAAACAGCCTCCCAAAATGTTATGAATACAGATTTCTTATCTTTATCCCTGTGCTTTGAATGAGGAACGAATAGGACCTTGACTTACCCAGGACTTGATATGCTAAATCCCAGGAATGAGGGAATGAATAGGACCTGGGCACACCCAAAACTTCTTTGTCCTTAAACCCCCCTCTGGAAATCAATAATAAATGTGCTGTGTTGTCTGTGGTGGGTGTTGAACTGTCCCTCCATCAGAGTGACAGCCTCCACCCGGAACCCAGCTTGATGAATCTACTTCTGCCTCTTGTCTCTTTCTTTCTTTTATTTCTTAATCCCCAGCTCCTCCACTCAGGAACCCATCCTTCTCCCTTTCTGTGCAGGAGAAGCACCCCACCTGCAGTCTCAGTGTGCTCTCCTAGGCGTGTGTGGCTGCCCCAGGCCCAGCTTGAGGGTGGCTTCTCCAGCTCCAGGCTCCTGCTGACTGGGGGACCAGCAGCACCTAGCAGCCAGCAGCCCAAACCCCCTCCCCCCATCGCCAGTACCTACCCCCTGTGTGCTTTCGTAGTAGAGTGCCTCCAGTGAGATGCCTCTTTCTATGAAGAACCTCTTCCAGCATCCTTGCAGGTGGTTTTCCAGCCCACAGCGTGGGTGTCTAGCAAGTTCCACCACCAGGGAGCTCAGTGGACCAAGCCTGGATCTCAACCTAGGGGTGGCGGTGGGGTTAGGTGGGGGGAATTCTTGTAGGGAACGGTTATAGGGTTAAGCCTCAGACTGAACTGCTGGCAAAATCGCAAACAAGTTTGTAAACTGAAGAGCAATTACTTTTCCAGTTCAAATAGTCTGTGGAAGAAAGCAAAGTGTTGGGAAACCCCTAGCATAAAAAGTAGAATGATTGAAGCTACTTAGGTGAGTGTAGGAACAATTAACATGATAAAGAAGGAATTTGAGGCATCTGTCCTGGTGCCCACCACATTAGGTTGTGCCCCAGGGGCTCCAAAAAAAGGGAAGTTACAAGTTACCCAGATATCTCACAGATATGTTATCTTAGAGGAGAAAAGGCAAATGGGCTCAGGAAAGATCTAAGTTGATCTTTGTCAGGGAAAATATCGGCCTAGGACATGACTACCCACTATAACCTGTTTGTAGTTTAAATATTTAATTTCCAAACCATCTTTTGTGGTTATTTTAGGTCTCAGAGTTTGCAAGACTGCCATGCAGGCCTCCCCTGAGCTTGTCAGGTTAGCCTGTGGCTCCTTTTGTTCACACCTCCAAATGGTTAGAAATATGGCAAGCCCCCAAATACGGGGTCCTGGTAGAATACAAAACACTCAGGATACAGGCAGCAAGGCAAACATATTTACTTCTATGTAGAAGGGTGCACACACATGGTCTGGGAGCACGTGCACACCGAGCTGACTGGCTGCTTGGCTTTATAATTCCTGAGGCACATGAACTGTCCTTTGCTCTTGATTGGAGCTCAGGCGTACAGTCTTTCTCAATTGGCTAGTTCAAAGGGAGGGGTTGGCCTTTGCTATTTCAAGATGGCGGCCCCAGGGAAGCTGCAAGCCATGCCAAGTCACCAGGTCCAAAATGGCGCCTGTCATTGACAGAACAGAAGACTTGTTTATTCTCACAAAATGAAATTAAGAATAGCCTTAACCCTTATCACAGACCACTTGGGTTAATTGACCAACCTGTGAATTTAAAGTTGCGCCAATTTGCTCTCATTAGTGTTTTAATTTGGAGGGTCATCTTGTAAAATACAAATTTCTTAGTCCAACTTTTAAAAAATATTTTAATTTTTTACAGAGAGGAAGGGAGAGGGATAGAGAGCTATTAACATTGATGCGAAACATCAACCAGCTGCCTCCTGCACACACACACACACACCCCCCCCCCACCGGGGATGTGCCCACAACCGAGGTACATGCCCTTGACCGGAATCAATCCCGGGACCCTTCAGTCCGCAGGCCTACTCTCTATCCAACTGAGCCAAACCGGTTTCAGCCTTAGTTCAACTTTAAGAAACATTTCAGTAGCTCTCCACTGCTTTCAGAATAAGGTTCAAATTCCTGAGCATGGCTAACATGACCCAGGAGGCCCCTTCCTCCAGAAAACCTTCTCTCCTCTGGGCTGAGTTGCCTCCAGGTGTCTTCCTAGCCTCAAGACACCTGTCCCCGGTCTGGGGGGGCGCCGGGCCCAGCACAGCACCCTGGTCTGTTGAAAGGGGCGACAGCATCTAGATAGCCCTGACTACAGCCCTTGCAGCTCAATAAATGCTGAAGGAGCGAGGCCGCTGCTGGAGTGAGGCCTGGGATGGAGTGGGGTGGGGGCAGAGGGGCGCTCTCACTTTGCTTCAGGCCCCCGTTGGGGAGCGAACTGGGACGCGAACGGATGCCACCCAGTGGCTGCCCGCGCCCCTTTCTCCCCAGAGTCGCTCCACACGCTTCCCTTGCACGCATCTCTGCAAAACTCGTCGGGAGCCCCCTCCCGCGGGGTCACGTGCCTGCAAGGAGAACGGCCCCAGGCGTGGCTTTGTGTTTCCATAGAAAATGCGCTTGGTAACCGACAGAGGGCCTGGCGGCGCACTCAGAGCCGTGGACCGGACCGGCACAGCCCGAGCGCCGCTCAGCCGCGGAACCGTGTGGGCAAGTCTTGGGGTGTCCACATGGGAGTTTGACAAATTACCTTTTAAAGACGGAATGGCCTGGGGAAAGGAGCACTCCCCCCTCCCCAGAGATTAGAAAACCGAATGACAATGGCCGTGAAGCACAGGGCGTTGCATTGGAAGCCCAAGCGGATCGGAGTTTGCAAACCACCGCACCGCGGCCACAGCAGAGGGGAAACCTCGGCCAACACGGCGCCTTCGGACCCGACCCAACGGCCGGGCTGAATTGCGTGTTCTCCAGCTCAACAGCAGCCTTTACGCGCGACTTTTTTTTTTTTTTTTTTTTTTTACTTCTTTCGCGGGAGTAACTTTCTCCTTGGCTTTCCCTAAATAGTTGTCCGCGCTAGTTGGGGGGGGGGGGGGGAAGAAGCCAGCAAGTGCCCTTCGGCATGGAAATAAAAAGTTGTCCTCAGAAGAAACAAACAAGGAGAAAGTTTACCACTTGGTTTCCCTGGTACCGATTAGCCGAAAAGGAGGGAGAGGGGCTGCAGGGGCCGGATCTAACAAGGGAGGGAAAGAAGGAAAAAGGAACCCGCCCCACACTGGGGAGGCTCAGAACCGCCCCTGGAGGCACGGCGGCCCCAGGGCTAGGTCTCCTTGATGAGTCCAACCTCCCCGTGTCAATCAGCTCTTTCTTGCGTTGCGATTGGCCGAGGCCTTCCCTGGTTCCCACCTCCTAGTTGCTTGGGGTTTACTTCCCCAAAGTACACGGGCCCCACCTTGTGGAGCAACCGCTCATGCGATGGAAAACGGATCTCCGCCCAGGGTGAGACGTTCCAACGAATGGTAGCGGCCCCAAGCATTTATTGGCCATTGTGGGCATCGGTCAATAAACGTCCCACCCTCCTTCCCACCTTCCCTTTAAGTAATTGGTCCTTCTCTGTGCCAATCCGTTACTAGGGAAACGAGATCCGCACAGTCTCATAGGCATGAGTCAAAGCCAATCAAGAGTCACGCCTTCACTCCGAGTCGATATCCAATGGCTGCTCGAGGAGCCCAGAGGACGCAGTCAGGATTGGTCGCCAGCCGCCGCAACAAGTTAGGCTGCGTGCGCCATTATATAGACCCGGCGACGGAGCACGCGTGTGCGGACGCAGTTGCGTGAGGGCTTTTTCTCCTTCCTCCGAGCGGTGGAGCAAAGCTTGTTCCTCTCCGTCTCAGCCGCGCAGGTACGCCGGGGTATGGGCGGCGCTGGGCGGCTCGAGGTCGAGGAAGAGCGGCAGAGGCTGTGAGAGGGAGGAGAAGAAGACGGAGCGTCGCCGGTGTGAGGCGCGCCCCCCCTTTCAACGGCCGCAGGCGGGCGCACGGGCGCGCGGAGGCTCTCCGCCCCTCCGCCCCCCCCCCTCCCCGGGCCGGCGCGCGTGGCCGGGTTCGCCGCGTGCGCGTGCCGCGCCCAACTGCCACGCGGGGCGAGAGCCAGCCGCGGCCGCCGCCCGGGGTCCCGGGGCGATCTCCAGGGTTCGCCCGCCTTTCCCGCCCGCCTCCCCACGCGCCCGCTGGTCTTCCCTCCGCTGGCGAGGGGGCTCCGGCGTGGCCTGGGCCGGAGGAGGCGGCTTTCATTCGGGGCTGGGAGCGTCACGAAAGTGCGATAAGAGGATTTTGCGACCGGGAAGCAGAAGTGCTGCTGCTGTTGGGCTTTCCAGGGACTTCAGGAGGAGCTGTGGGTAGCTGTGGGTGCATGCATGGGTCATGAGCGTTAATAACGAATTCTTTCCAAACCCTTATTGTGTGCCAGGCACGGTGTCGAGCCAATTGTGTGCCTCTCATTGACCCCCCATAGCCTGGGGAGGTAGGTCCGATGATTTTCCTCATGTTACAGCAGACTCAGAGGACCAGGACCCGCCGTGTGTGACATGGTCCGAGGCATGCAGGCGACGGTAAGGGGCAGGTGCTTGTTTGCACCCAAGGTTGCCTGACTCCCTAGTCCCCGAGCCTATTTTAAATATTTCTTTTATTTTAGCGCCCCATGTGACCCCAGGGCACCTTGGCCCCCTAGGGCATCGGTAGTCCCCTGCGGGCAGCATCCGCCCCGAAAAGCCGCCCTGCTGCTGCGGAGGCTGCGGCGGCTGCATTTGTCCTGGAGCCGCTCCTGGGCTTCCAGGGAGACCAGGGTTGGACGTGGGCTGAAGACAAAGGAAGAGAGAGAGAGCGTTTGGGCTTCCTTTCTGTTTGTATTCGCGTAGGTAGCCGCTGGGTGTGCTGCCCTAAAAGCGCCTGGGAAAAGTATCCGATGAAACGAGTAAGTGCAAGGGAACGTGTACAGTGTTCCTCAGAGTCTGATTTGAAACTCACAGTGTGATGATGGGAAATTCCCGCCAGCAGGAAGTTAGGCAGACTTTTGAGAGGGACCTTCGAGAACATCGCTTAACTTCCTCGTTCTTTATCATTGAAGAAAATGAGGGTCAGAACCATGAGATGAGGTTCAGACCTCGCCAGCATGTGTGGGTTAACACTTGAAGTAGGAATGGGAAGGAGGGTGCTCAGTTACAGTGTAAGTTGACCTTTGCGGAGCTTATGCTGGGTAAGAGGTGAGTGGGAAAACTTCACCTCTGTTGGTAGTTGGGGTCTTTTGTGGATAGCAGCTTATCCCCATTCAGTTCATTATTTAGCATTTACTCTTAGGCTCCTGTGTATATGCAGACATAGACGACACTTTCAAAGACTTGAGTGAATCTTTTTCTAGTAAAGTTATATTTTAGTTTTTTGAAAGCCAGTATACTCCCTGTCTTCATGAAATAATAAATGTTCCTGTGTTGCAGGTCCAAGTCATTACACCACAGATGTCTCTACTTGAGATAAAAGTACAGTAAAAGATTTGAGACTTAATCCATTTGAATTTTGATTGGGATGGCTTTCAACTTTTTTTTTTAAGAATGTGCCTATTTTGAGTATATGGACACTACTGTGTTTTCCCGAAAATAGGACATCATCCGAAAATAAGACCTAGCGCAACTTTGGGAGAAAAAATTAATATAAGACACTGTCTTATTTTCGGGGAAACAAGGTATTTACGATTGATCTTGATTTGTTTTTTTTTGCAGTCAGCAAGAACACATAATTTAATCCTTGTAAGTAAATTTTAAAACTATCAGGAAGCTTAATATTTGTAAGTGTGTCCATTTACCCAATACTTCCCATGTTTCTTAACAGAAAGTAGCAAATATAGGATGGAAATTTTGTATTGAAAAGCTGTAGGTGTGTTGGTGTTGCCATAAATAACAGATTGCCTTAGAATATAACTTTGTTTTACTTGGAACTTGCTTTCCTGTAGCAGTGCCACTTACCTGCGGTTAGACACCCGTTAACTATTGAATTAGCATTTTAAGTTAGCAAATGTTAAAACACTATAATGATCTGCATTTAAACTGACTTTGAGTCCAGCTAATTTTATTATTGCTTGAGGTAAGACACATCAATGAAATTATCTTATGCATTAATTGAGGAAATTGTTACTTTCCCCTCCAAATTCTTTTTTTAAGGAAAAAAACAACAACAACCCTGTTCTTGGCCTCAGGCAAATGTTATTAGTTAGTTGAGCAAGAATATGGAAACTGGTATTTCCCAAATTGGTAGACCAGTATGTATTCATTTATCAAGAACAAGTGATTTTTGAAGAAAAATTGTAATTATATAAGACTTAGGCCGAGACTGGTTTGGCTCCTTGGATAGAGTGTCGGCCTGCAGACTAAAAGATCCTAGGTTCGATTCTGGTCAAGGGCATGTACCATGGTTGCGGGCACATCCCCAGTAGGGGGTGCACAAGAGGCAGCTGATCGATGAATCTCATCGATGTTTCTAACTCTATCCCTCTCTCTTCCTCTCTGTAAAAAAATAAATAAAATATATTAAAAAAAAAACATAAACGACTTAGGTGCCACCTTGATAACCAGCCAAGTCAAAGGTTACTTTTGATATTGTTAAACCCTTTAAATATAAACTTTTGTGTCTTTTATTTTTTTATTATTTATTTATTTAAAAAATATATTTTATTGAGTTTTTACAGAGAGGAAGAGAGAGGGATAGAAAAACATGGATCAGCTGCCTCCTGCACACCCCCCACTGGAGATGTGCCAGCAACCAAGGTACAGGTCCTTGACCAGAATCGAACCTGGGACTTTTTAGTCCGCATGCTGACGATCTACCCACTGAGCCAAACCAGTTTCGGCTGTGCCTCTTAACTGGTAGCAAAGTAGGCAGTTCTTTGTTCTTTATTTAATTCAGTTTGCAGTTCTCAGCTGACAGTTTGCTAAGGAACATCAGGAGATGTGGAAATGTTGGTGACCTACTTTGCAGCAGTTTTTTGTAATTTACATTTTATTTTACTTGTTTTAGTACTTTGAATAGAGAATAAAGGGCAGAGGTTAGCTTTAAATTTATTGATTTCAGAGAGGAAGAGCGAGGGAGAGAGAAGAAACATAAATGAAGAGAGAGAATCGTCGATCAGCTGCCTCCTGCACATCTCCCACTGAAGATGGAGCCTGCAACTTGGGCATGTGTCTTGACCAGAATTGAAACCCGGGACCCTTCATTCCGCAGGTCGATGCTCTATCCACTGAGCCAAATCAGCTAGGGTTTTTGAATTGCATATGGCTTTTAGGATGGATAAGGAAACGTTTTATTAAAAGATGAAATTTAAGCCGAAACCTGTTTGGCTCAGTGGATAGAGCATCCGCCTGTGGACTGAAAGGTGTCCCGGGTTCAATTCCGGTCAGGGGCATGTACCTTGGTTGTGGGCACATCCCTAGTGGTGGGTGTGCAAGAGGCAGCTGATAGATGATTCTCTCTCATTGATGTTTTTAACTATCCCTCTCTTCCGCTCTTTAAAAAATCAATAAAATATAGATTTAAAAAGATGAAATTTAATATAAAGCCTGAATTTGTGACCTAATAAATTTTTTCTTTTTGCCAGTTTAATAAAATGAATCACTTGACCTTTCAGCAAAGATATATTTTTTAAAGGTAATATTTCAGAATTTATATATGTGCATTGTATGTTCATTTAGTTGTGCTTTAAGACTGCTTTGGAGCTCTGGCTGGTGTGGCTCAGTTGGTTAGGCGTTACCCTGTGCACTGAAGGGTTGCCATTTCCATTCCTGGTGAGAATACATGCTCCAGTTTCAGCTCTATCCGACAGGAGGCAGCTGATTGATGTTTTGCCCTCATATTGATGTTTCTCTCTAAATATCAATAAAAAAAAATCTTTAAGAGCCCTGGTTTGGCTGGTTTGGCCCAGTGGATAGAGGGTTGGCTTGTGGACTGTTTTTCTCAAGGGAAATATTCCTGATGACTATGATGAGTAAACATTGTTTCAGAAATACTAATTTTATTCAGCAAACTAATTTTCCTAGCATAAGAATAAATTATTTAGCAGTGTTTAACAGAAAAGTAAAACTTAATGTGTGTGCATATATATATATATATGTGTATATATATATGTGTATATATATATATATATATATATATATTTTTTTTTTTTTTTTTAAGAGTGCAAGGGAGTGGTAGAGACAGAGACATGACGGGCTCAATTGAAACTGGGACCCTTCAGTCTGCAGATTGATGCTCCACCCACTGAGCCAAACCTGCTAGGGCTAATGTTAATTTTTTTTAAAGACAGAAATTTTTATACCTAACATGGTTAAACATACCTAAAACTACTGTAGTTCTAAGATGCATGTTTTAAAAGTTAAGATATTAAGATATGTACTTGATTTAGGTTTAGATTTAAAGTTTGACTGAACAGTTATATTCTGTGGGGACACAGACAAGACTTCCTACATAGCATTAGTATGGGTGGACCACTGCAGTCTTAAAGTCACCCTAAAAGTTTCTTAAAAGGTCAAGTTTTACATTAAATGTTTGGGCTTCTGTATTTCAGGGTACATTACTAAAATTCTTCTCATAGGACATATGCATTTTTATTTTCCTAGCAGAATACATAAGTAGTCTTATAAGTGACAGAAAAGGATGGGATATAGAAATGCTTTCTTTTATCATAGTTAATAATTATAATACTAATAGTACTGAAAGCTAACATTCAGTACTTACTGTCTTCCAGACAATTTTTATAATTAGGATTTTAATTTAACAGATGAAAAAACTGAGGGGCACAGATAGCAAGTTACTAGCCCATGAGCACAGCTAGTGAATGGAGTTGAGGATTTTCCCCAGTGAAAGCATTAAAGAAAATTTGGGGGTACCTTTGGTTGTATTTTCAATACTCATTTACTATTTTTAAAAGAGCACTCAATTTCCAAGTTTTGTCATATTTTACTTCTCTTAATCATTTCTAAGTGGTCAGTTTTGTCTTTAGTTCTTGGGGTAAAGAACTATTCCCTTTTCCTAACCGAGCACCTTTTTAGAAAATATATATATTTTTAATATATTTTATTGATTTTTTACAGAGAGGAAGGGAAAGAAATAGAGAGCTAGAAACGTCGATGAGAGAGAAACATCGACCAGCTGCCTCTTGCACACACCCAACCGGGGATGTGCCCGCAACCAATGTCCATGCCCTTGCCCAGAATCGAACCTGGGACCTTTCAGTCCGCAGACCGACGCTTTACCACTGAGCCAAACCGGCATCAGCTTTAGAAAATATTTCTAAGGAAAATTTCAGAAAAATATTTTAAGGGAAAATATAATATTTAAAAAATATATATTTCCTTTTCCTTTTCATTGAGTATAATTTTGAGATATCATGACATTCACAAATACTGGGAATATTAAAACTTAGATATAAAATTAGTAGAAAGTGAACTTCCTTTAGTGAAAAATGAATGCTACTCTTTTATTCCCAAGTCCTGTTTCTTTCATCTCTGATCTTCCTAGTCTATAATGATTTCAGTTTATATCCTTCTTAGTAATATTATTTAATTTATTTATTTATATTTTATTTTATTGTTTAAAGTATTACAAATAGCTGAAACCAGTTTGGCTCAGTGGTGGAGCGTCGGTCCGCGGACTGAAAGGTCCTAGGTTCTATTCCAGTCAGGGGCATGTACGTGGGTGTGTGCAAGAGGCAGCTGGTCGATGTTTCTCTCTCATTGACGTTTCTCTCCCTTCCTCTCTGTAAAAAATCAATAAAATATATTTAAAAAAATCTTTTTAAAAAGTTCTTTAAAGTATTACAAATAGTAGTACATATAACCTTGTCCTGGCCTCCCCTGCACATGCCTTCACTCCACCACCCAGTGTCTTGTGTCCATTGGTTATGCTTATATGCATGCAAATAAGTCCTTCGGTTGATCTCTAACCTTCCCCGCCACCCCCAACACTCCCCAGCCTTCCAGCTATAATTTGACAGTCTGTTCCATGCTTCTCTGCCTCTGTATCTATCTTTTTATTCATTAAGTTATAATGTTTATCATCCATAAATGAGTGAGATCCTGTGGTATTTTTTTTTTCACTGCCTGGCTTATTTCACTAAGCATAATGCTCTCCTCCTTTCCATCCATTACTGCTGCAAATGTTAAGAATTCCTTTTTTATAGCAGTCTAGTATTCCATTGTATAGATGTACCATAGTTTTCTAATGCACTCATCTGCTGATGGGCACTTAGGCTGTTTCCAAATCTTAGCCCTTGTAAATTGTGATGCTATGAACATATGGGTGTATGTATTCTTTTTGATTGGTGTTTCTCTTTTCTTGGGATATATTCCTAGAAGTGGGATTACTGGGTCATATGGTAGTTCCATTTTTGCGGAAACGCTACACTGTTTTCCACAATGGGTACACCAGTCTGCATTCCCATCAGAGTGAAGGAGGGTTTCTTTTTCTCCACATCCTCTCCAGTACTGGTGATTTGTTGATTTGTTGATGATAGTCATTCTGACAGGTGTGAAGTGGTACTTCCTTGTTGTTTTGATTTATATGTCTTGGATAATTAATGACTTTGAGCATGTTTCATGTTTCTCTTGGCTTTTTGAATGTCCTCTTTCAAAAAGTGTCTATTAAGGTCCTTTGCCCATTTTTTGATTGGATTGTTTATTTTCCTTTTGTTAAGTTGTATGAGTTCCCTGTCAATATTGGAGATTAAACCCTTATTGGAAATAACACTGGCCAATGTGTTTTCCCATGCAGTGGGCTTTCTTACTGTTTTGTTGATGGTTTCTTTCTTTTTTTTCCACTTTAAAAAAATATTTTATTGATTTTTTTACAGAGAGGAAGGTAGAGAGATAGAGATCTAGAGAGAGAAACACCCACCAGCCGCCTCTTGCACACCCCCCATCGGGTATATGCCTGCAACCAACGTACATGCCCTTGACCGGAATCGAACCCGACACCTCAGTCCGCAGAACAACCTCTACCACTGAGCCAAACCGGTTTCGGCAGCCTTTGATATTTTAATTTTGAAATCAGCCCCTTTTTTGAACAGTGAAGCAATATAGTTGCTTTCTACTAAAATATATATTTTAGTCACATGGACATAATTTTCCTCCAGTTTTATTGAGAAATAATTGCCAAGAATATTATTTTTAAATACTGCTAGTTTCCCTTGGGTTCATTGTTCAATGTTTATTATAGAAGTGCTTAAAGGAGAGACTTCAAGAGCCAAAGCTTTCATTTTAATGGGACCACAACTGCCCTCTCCTGCAGGCCTGGTCCCTCCCAACTACCTTTTCCTGCTGGCTATCTTGTGGTGGCCATCTTGGGTCCACAGGGGGGCTGCCATCTTGTATGTTGGAGTGATGGTCAATTTGAATATTACCTCTATATTATATAGGATTGTTCTTGTTAATTCTCACCTGAGGATATTTTTTCATTGATATATATATTTTTTTTTAAGCAAAAATGGAAGAGAGAGGGAAGGACAGGAACATTGATATGAGAGAAGCATCCATTGGTTGCCTTCTGCAGGACTCCTGACCAGGACCAGGGCGGAGCCTACAACCAAGGAATTTGCCCTTGATGGAATTGAACCCAGGACCCTTTGGTCTGCAGGTTGATGCTCTATTAACTGAGCCAAACCAGCTAGTGTGAGAAGCTAAGACCTTTTAAGAAAGGAAAATTTACATAAGAACTCTAATATATAAAGTGTAGTCATTCTGATCTAATTAAGTAATGGGAAGTCTTAGAACTCAGAAATTATAGCTAGGTGACTATTAAGAACCTTTAATATCCAACTGTAATCTGTAAGTACTGAAGAATCTAGGATCAGTAAAAACATCTGGAATTATCTTTTTCTGGACCAAAACCCAGGGGAAAAAATACAACAATTTCACATTCTGCCTCAGGTTAGTCTACTTTAAGTTTATTATTTTAAGATTTGGGATCCAGATTCTTGTTACTGATAACCTCATAAACATGCCTGCAGGCAAACTACTCTTCAGTATGACTGGGAAGCTATTTCACAGTGGCTGTAATTTGGGGAAAATGCAGAACAGGCCTTCAACTAATTTCTTACATTTTTGTGAAACAAGTAAGTGGGACAGATTTAAGAATAATAAGGATGAGGACATCTGTAATGTCAACACTAAAAATAAAGTTTAAAAAAAAGGAAAAGAAAAAAAAAATGAGGAAATGGAGTGGGTGAGGATAAATATATCTCCACAAACTGCTTATTCATGAATTGACAAACCAAACTCAGTCCACTTTGCCTATCTTTTTTTATTTAGGTTTTTTATTTTTAATGTATTATATATAAATTTCAGAGAGAAAGGGAGAGGAAGAGAGACAGAAACATCAATGATGAGATGGAAACTTTGATTGGCTGCCTCTTGCACGCCCCCCCCCCCTGCCGCCCCACTGGGGACTGAGCCTTTCAGTTCCCAGACCGGCGCTCTCTACCACTGAGCCAAACCGGTTTCGGCTTGAAATTTTTTTTTTCAATAACAGTTTACTTTCAATATTACTTTGTATTAGTTTCAGATGTACAGTAGAATGATTAGAAAATAATATCCTTAAAGTTCTTTTAAAATAATAACTGACAATAATTGAGGACTTAGTATCTGTCATGTGCCTTTCTTAATGCTCAAAGGTACTAACTTTAAATCATAATGATAATTTTGAGGTGATAGGGATTATTTTGTTGAGTAAAAACATCTTAACTTTTTTTACCCACATTATTTTTAGATTATTTTTGGTCCCATTATAGAATAAATTGAGCATATTTAGAATTTGTTTTTAAAGATACCAAATATTTCTCTGACTTAGTTTGATTAAAAATGTGATAGTAGGTGCCCATATATCTTAAGCTGTATTTGTTTGATTTTATCATCCTCAAATGAAATAGTTCCATAAATAAGAATATGTTTTTATTTTATAACTCAAATACTCTGGATTAAATTAATTTGGAAAATTGCGGTAGGATGGAAATATGTGTCTTTGAGTTTCTTATATTCAGTTAAAAAATTGAATATTGGGAATAATGATGAATTATATATATTAATTTTTTTTACAGAGAGGAAGGGAGAGGGATAGAGAGTTAGAAACATCAATGGGAGAGATAAAACATCGATCAGCTGCCTCCTGCACACCCCTTATTGGAGATGTGCCCTCAACCAAAATACATGCCTTAGACCAAACCGAACCTGGGACCCTGGGACCCTTCAGTCTGTAGGCCAATACTCTATCCACTGAGCCAAACTGCTTAGGGCAATGAATTCTTTATAGTGATTTTTCCCCCCTTCCCAGTATTTCTCTGATTACAATAAATTTCAATGTATAAAATATCACCTGGTCTGTGTGTTGTTTTTATAATACCGGTAATTATTTCTTTTTAAAACCAAGAATTTCTGAAGTAATCTTGTCTTTACTTTTGAGTTGGTTTTAGCTAAATGATTATCTTCTCCCCTGCTACTTTTTCCTTTTGTACTTGACCTTTCCGGTTGAACAAATTTAACTGTTTTTTTTCCAGGTTGAATTGACCAAAGCAATGGTTATGGAGAAGCCTAGTCCCCTGCTGGTCGGGCGGGAATTCGTGAGACAGTATTACACTCTGCTGAACCAGGCCCCAGACATGCTGCACAGGTAAAAGTTCTTCAAATGCTGTATTTCAGTATGTGGTTATTTACCCTCGAAATTCTCTTATTCACCTGTAGGGTTGTTGCATAATAGTGCTTTCTTTTCATTGAACTTATTGGGGTGATATGGGTTAATGAAATTATATGGGTTTCAGGTATATAATTCTACAATGCATCATCTGTATATTGTATTGTGTGCTTATCATCCCAAGTCAGAATGTCTAATGGTGCTTTTTATATAAGTGCCAATAAATTGTGGTTGTTAAAATGATACCATTTTAAATAGGATATATAAATATTACTAGAGGCCCGGTGCATGGATTTGTGCACCAGTGGGGTCCTTGGCATAGCCTGCGGGCATTAACCAAAATGGGCAGTTTAGTGCCACCTCTTGCAGTTCCTCCCCCCGGCCAGCAATCACCCCCCATGGCCCCAATTGGGGTGCCAGCCGGCCAACCTCCTATGACCCCTCTGCCCCCTGTCCAATCAACCTCCTGCAGTTCCTCCCCCTACCTAGACCCCCCATAGACTTTGATCATCAGTCAGGCTGAGGGACCCCACCTGTGCATAATTTGTGCACCAGGCCCCTAGCATATTGATAATTTTTTAATCGTCATCCAAGGATATTTTTTTCCATTTATTTCTAGAGAGAGTGAAATAAGGGAGGCGGGGTACTAGAGAGAGATAGAAACAACTTGAAAGAGACATATCAATTGGTTGCTTCTTAGTGTTGCTATGCTTTTAAAAATTAGGGCCTCTTTTTAGTGGAAATAATACATACTTATAAATCAAAACATGAAATAAACATGGAAGTAAAACCATGCTAATAATTTTAAGGATTTAAAAAAATTCATATATTTTATTGATTTTTCAGAGAGAGGAAGGGAGAGGGACAGAGAGTTAGAAACATTGATGAGAGAGAATCATCGATCAGCTGCCTCTTGCACACTCCCTACTAGGGATGTGCCCACAACCAAGGTACATGCCCTTGACCGGAATCGAACCTGGGACCTCTGTCCATTGAGCCAAACCAGTTTCAGCTTATTTATTTATTTATTTATTATTTATTTATTTATTTATTTATTTATTTTAAATATATTTTATTGATTTTGTACAGAGAGGAAGGGAGAGAGATAGTTAGAAACATCGATGAGAGAGTCATCGATTAGCTGCCTCTTGCACACCCCCTACTGGGGATATGCCCGCAACCAAGGTACATGCCTTTGACTGGAATCGAACCCAGGACCTTTCAGTCCCCAAGCTGACACTCTATCCATTGAGCCAAACTGGTTTTGACTCAACACTTTTATTTATTTATTTATTTATTTATTTTTAAATAAATCTTTATTCAGATTACTACAAATGTGATCCTCTTTCCCCCCTCAATTGCTCCCCTTCACCAGGTTCCCACCCCACCCTCTGTCCTTTCCCCATCCCCCATTGTCCTCATCCATAGGTGCACCCCCACTCCCCTTTTCCCGCACCTCCACTCCCCTTTTCCCTGAGAATTGTCAGTCCACTCCCCTTCCATACCTCTGATTCTATTATATTCACCAGTTAATATTGTTCATCAGATTTTTGAATTCCCTTGGTTTTTAGATTCACTTGTTGATAGCTACGTATTTGTTGATCATAATTTTTATCTTTATCTTCTTCCTCTTCCTAAATAACCTCCTTCAGCAATTCATATAATTCTGGTTTGGTGGTGATGAACTCTTAGCTTTTTTTTATTTGTGAAGCTCTTTATCTGTCCTTTGATTCTGAGTGATAGCTTTGCTGGGTAGATTATTTTTGGCTGTAGGTTCTTGTTATTCATCACCTTGAATATTTCTTGCCATTCCCGTCTGGCCTGCATGGTTTCTTTTGAGAAATCAGCTGACAATCTTATGGGTGCTCCTTTATAGGTCACTACCTGCTTTTCTCTTGCTGCTTTTAATATTCTCTCTTTGTCTTTTGCTCTTGGAATTTTAATTATGATATGTCTTGGTGTGGTCCTCCTTGGATTCCTTTTGTTTGGGGTTCTGTGGGCTTCCTGGACCTGTAAGTCTATTTCTTTCCCCAGGTGGGGGAAGTTTTCTGTCACTATTTCTTCTAGTACTCTTTCGGTATCTTGCTCTCTCTCTTCTGGAATCCCCATAATTCTGATGTTGGTTCGCTTGAAATTGTCCCAGAGGTTTCTTACACTATCTTCAACTTTCTGGATTCTTTTATCTTCTCCCTTCTGCAGAGGAGTGTCCTCTGGCTCTTTGTGTTCTAAATCTTTGTCTTGATTCTTGCGATCTTCCAGTCTGTTTTTAGGACTTTGTATAGTATTTTTTATTTCATACAGTGTTTTCTTCATTTCTTGTTGATCCCTTATTATTTCTAGTTGCTCCCTTTACATATCCTCATAGGTCTCATTTATTTTATCGGCCTTTTTTAGGATATTGTTGAATAACCTTATAACTGTAGTTTTGAACTCAATGTCCAATCTTTTCTTTTCCTCCATCTCCTTCCTTTGTGTCCTTCTTGTCTGCATTTTAGTTGTTTCCCTGATTTGATAGAATAGCTTTGTGTGCGAGGTGTTCTGGTAGAGCCCAGTAGCACAGCCTTCCCAGTTACCTGCAGTGGACAGTCTTGGTGTAGCCCTTTGTGGGCTGTGAGGATCAGCAGTGACTCAGCTAGGAGGGTTTCCCTACTCTGCTTGAATAGGGCGGGGTCTCGGGGTGGCGCAGACAATCTTTGGTTCCCTGTCAGTCTCGCCTTAGAAAAGTCCTTCACAGTTCCTGAGGTTCAGCGTGCCTTCTCTCTCCTTCCCAGATGGCAGAGCCTCCTCTCAGCCAGCTGTCTGGCGCTTCAGGGCAATGCCTCCCCTGTTTTTCAGTTCTAAATTCAAATTTGTTGTGGTAGGCTGCATTCGGGTGTCTACCCTATGCCGCCATCTTGGTTTCTCCTATTTATTTATTTTTAATGTTTTTAGAGACAGAGGAAAGGAAAGGGAGATAGAAACATCAATGAGAGCTAACATCAATTGGCTGCCTCTTGCATGCCCCTCGCAGGAGATCAAGCCCAAAACCCGGGTATGTGCCCTCACCAAGAATCAAATTGTCAACCACTCTTGGTACATGGGTCCACCCTCAATCACTGAGCAATACTGGCTGGGCCTTTTGTTGTGTTTTAGGTCAAAATTTCATTCTGTACCCTTAGAAGTTAGGTAAATTTGAATTTAAGAAGCAGGAGTTGAAAGAAACTAACCAAGAACATTCATATATTTCTTATCAATATTGATATTGATTGATTCTAAGACATCCTTTTTTTCACATTTTATTTCTGAGATAGGAACAGTGGCTTACCAGCAGTGAATTGATTTCACTGGCTGACATGCAACTTTTTAAATAACTAACAATTATAAGGTATACTTGGGGTCTTGTGGGCTCAGATCTTTCCCCTTTAGGGGGTGGGGGAGGTAGAGTCAAGATGTAGAATGGCACATGATGGACTCATTTGTGAAAAATTATTTATATATAAAGTACAGATATTAAGAAATCCTTATAGGGTGGTTAACCGTGGGATGACTTTCCTGATCCAGTATAGTATTGTAATGAGACACAGCAGTCAAGGATAGAGAAAAATAAAAAAGCTATGGAAATTAAAATCTACAACTTGTAGTGCATCAGCAAACATTACTAAAAACTACTAAAACACACTTGCATGATGAGTTTAATGGGAATTTCTCACCTGCATTCTTGGATATAAAAGGACTATCCAAGTCTAGGGAGAGTATAGATGTCCTCATCTATTTAAAAACTGCCTAATTTCTTCTTGAGTGAAAGCAGGGACTTTTGTTTTAAGTGCCTTTCCTGACATTAACTCCAAGATCCTTCTCAACATGATCATCCTACTCTGAAACCTGGAAGGTGTGACTTGTAATATAAGTGTTCACCTCATTGAACAAATTCATTCCCATTCAGCAGTGTTTACTGACATGGAGGGGATGGATCTATGATTGTATACAAAAATGAAAAAGAAAGCACATTCTTGCTTCCAAGAATCTGCCGCTGAGGCAGTTAGGTACCAAACATGAAAAATTATTACCTGTTCTTAGGAAGATGACAAGTAAATTATATTTCTGTTTGACAGGTTTTATGGAAAGAACTCTTCTTATGTCCACGGGGGATTGGATTCAAATGGAAAGCCAGCAGATGCAGTCTATGGACAGAAAGTAAGAATGCCAAGCTTTATGTAGGTGGTTTAGCAGCTAGAAAATAATCCCTAAAATTGAAGTAGATGCATGCTTAATAGATTTGCTGATAATGAGAGATCAAATATGTCGTTTTAAAAAAATTGAGGTATTTAATAATTGTTTGGTTAATACAGTAGTTATTGAAATGCTTATGATGTCACATTGCTCATTTTGTATTATATATTGTGAAGTTTTTTAACCTGTTAACCAGGGAGTTCCCTTTTTAATGACCTGTAATGGGCGCATACTCTTTCATTAGGACGTGTCAGTATGTCATGCCCGGAGGATGTAATTTCATATTATTTTTTTAAATTTATACTTAATGAAAATAAATAAATATATATATATATATATATATATATATATATATATATATATATATTTGTTTATTTATATATATAAAGCACAAAGGGAAATACAAAATTACAAAGAAAAATAGAAAAGAATACCGACAAAAATAAATGGGCACGTCGAATTAAAAAATTATAAATTTTACAAACAAAGATAAAGATTACAAAAAGATAGCCGAAACCGGTTTGGCTCAGTGGATAGAGCGTCGGCCTGCGGACCTAAAGGTCCCGGGTTCGATTCCGGTCAAGGGCATGTACTTTGGTTGCCGGCACATCCCCAGTGGGGGGTGTGCAAGAGGCAGCTGATCGATGTTTCTCTCTCATCTCATCGATATTTCTAACTCTCTATCCCTCTCCTTCCTCTCTGTAAAAAAGTCAATAAAATATTAAAAAAAAAAGATATATACCGTTCCTCTAGGGGCGCAACATATATTTCAAAGACGTATTCATATGTCTTACCTGTTCCCGATATTGTTTACGTTTGACGTATTTATAGGTCCCCCTTGGTTAACAGGTTAATATATGAGATGATTGGTTTTAGCATGGGGTCATCTATTATAAACTTTACATATTTTTTAAAACTATTTTTATTGATTTTAGAGAGGAAGGGATGGAGGGAGAGAGAGAGAAACATCAGTGATGAGAAAGAATCATTGATTGCCTTCTGCATGCTCCTCACTGGGCAACTGGGCATGTGCCCTTAACCAGACTCAAACCTAGGACCCTTTAGTCCCCAGGCTTATGCTCTATCCACTGAGCTAAACTGGCAAGGGCTGTAAATATTTTTAGGTTTGTTCAAGACAATAATTCAGAAGGCTGGGTGGTCACGAGGAATCTATATAATCTATATACTCAAAGCCTAAGTGACCTTTATGGCAGAATGACTGGTTGCTTTGTTGCATATTGACCACCAGGGGGCAGATGCTCAACGCAGGAGCTGCCCCTTGGCGGTCAGCCCCCACTCAGCCAGAAAATGGGTTTTATGGCGCTCTGTGGTGGTGTGGGGAGCCTCTCCCACTTCTGCAGCAGTGCTAAGAAGCAGCGAGCCGAGAGGTAAGGAGTGAAGGGTCCTGGACTGTAAGGGGGCTCAGGCCAGGCTGAGGGACCCCCTCTTCCTTCTTCACCTCTCCCCAATGCAAGCATTTTGTGTACTGGGCCTCTAAGATACTATATTAAAGCAAATTATGGGGGAGCATTTGACATCTTGCTGCCTGGCATATGTCATCAGTTTGGCTCAAGCTGTTACATATAAAAAAAAGACAAATCAGAATAGGGCCTGTATAGTTTGTAATTTTAAAAAAAGTATATATCTTATTGAGATAGAGAGGAAGGAAGAGGGATAGAGAGTTAGAAACATCGATGAGAGAGAAATATGGATCAGCTGCCTCCTAACCTGGGACCCTTAAGTCCTCAGGCCAAAGCTCTATCCAATGAACCAAACCGGCTGGTTTGTAATTTAAACATGTAAATTTTCTTTACTTGCGTTATGTGGGAAATTTTTTGATGTTGGAGATTGTGTAAGTTTTAAGGCATTAACCTATGCTTTCATTCCTTAGGAAATCCATAGGAAAGTGATGTCACAAAACTTCACCAATTGCCACACTAAGATTCGCCATGTTGATGCTCATGCCACTTTGAATGATGGTGTAGTGGTCCAGGTGATGGGATTGCTCTCCAATAACAACCAGGCTTTGAGGAGATTCATGCAGACATTTGTCCTTGCTCCTGAGGTATGAAAAAAGAAAGTGAATGCTTGTGCATCTCTTAAAAAAAGTTCATTTTGAAGTTTTCAATTTAAAGAAGAGTTATAAGAACAGTATAATAACTCCTACATACTTCTTCTTACCTAGAGCCACTGTCAATACTTGTCCGTACATTTGGAATTCTTTTTTCTATTAACCTATCATTTTATATTCTAAACCATTTGATAGTAAGTTAGAAATATGCCTAGTCATCTTCAAATACTTAAGTGAAAATTTCATAACCATAGTATAGTTATCAAATTCATGAAATATTAATGTAATATAGTTATTAATCTATAGTCCATATTTAAATTTTGGTTATCTTCCCAATAATGTCCTTTTTATAATCCTCATCCACCTCCTCGACCCAAGATTGAGTATAGGAATGCACATTTTATATAGCTTTGATGTCTCTTTAGTTTACTTTTTTTTTTTTTTTTTTCAAATATATTTTATTGATTTTTTTAACAGAGAGGAAGGGAGAGGTAGAGAAATAGACTTAGACATCAATGAGAGAGAAACACCAATCAGTCGCCTCCTGCACACTCCCCATCGGGGATGTGCCACAACCAAGGTACATGCCCTTGACCGGAATCGAACCTGGGACTTTTCAGTCTGCAGGTTGATGCTCTATCCACGGTTTCGGCTCTTTAGTTTACTTTTTTATTTTTTGTTTTTTGGTGGCATTGACATTTTGGAAGAGTATGATCAAGTTACTTTGTAAAATGCCTCAGTTTGAATTGTCTGATACTTGTGATTAGATTAAAGTTAAACACATAGGTTCTTTATTGCCTCATATTAGGGAGGCTCTTGATTTCCTTTAATCCTCTTAGTGATGTTAACTTTTGCCACTTAAGGCAATGGTCAACAGGTTTCACCACTCAGATGATTTACTTTGCTCATTTATAAATAAACTAGGGACCCGGTGTATGAAATTTGTGCATGAGTGATGGGATATTCCTCAGCCCGGCCTGCACCCTCTCTAATCTGGGACCCCTTGAAGGACGTCCTGCTGGTTTACAGGGATCGGGCCTAAACCGACAGTTGGACATCCCTCTCACAATCCAGGACTGCTGGTTCCAGCCGCTCACCTGCCTTCCTGTCTGATTGTCCCTAACCACTCTGTTACCCATAACCACTCTACCTGCCAGCCTGCTTGCTCCCAGCTGCCCCCTGCCACTAGCCTGCTCACCCCCATCTTCCCTTCCCAGTGGCCTGCTCACCCCCAACTACTCCCCTGCTGGCCTGCTCACTCCACAAACTGCCCACCCCCCACTGATGGCCTGCTTACCCCTAATTTGCTCCCCTGGGTGTCTGCTGAAGCCCAATGGCCCCTGCTGTCCTATCACCCTGCTGGCCTGATATCTCTCTCTCTGTGTGTCTCTCTCTCTCTCTCTCTCTCTCTCTCTCTCACACACACACACACACACACACACACACACACACACACACACACTGCGACCCAAGGTCCCAGCCCCTCCTTCTCCTCCCCCCCTCCCCCCAGCACCTCCTTGAGCAGAGGCCAGGGCCAGCTGGAAGCAAGTATCTAGGATATATTTATCTTCTATAATTGAAACTTTGTAGCCTTGAGCTGAGGCCAGGGCTGGCCAGGTTGGGAAGCTTGGCTTCCTCCATTGCCAGGGCAACCCAATCCCCTGCTTGCTTCAGCTCTGTGGCTGGCTGCCACCTTGGTTGGGTTAATTTGCATACTTGCTCCTGATTGACTGGTGGGTGTGGCTTGTGGGTATAGCAGAGTGATAGTTACTTTGCTTGTTTCTCTTTTATTAGTGTAGATTGTGCATGGTTTTTTGAGACTGCAAATATCTCTTTTAAAAATATTTTTTTTCATTTCAGAAAGGAAGGTGGCGGGGGGAATATCAGTGATGAGAATCATTGATTGGCTGCCTTCTGCAGCATAGCACCCACCCACCCCCGGCCCCCCTGCACTAGGTTTAGAGCCCGTAACCCAGGCATGAACTCTTGACCAGAATCGAACCCAGGACCCTTCAGTCCCCAGCCCAATGCTCTGTTCACTGAGCCAAACCAGTTAGGGCCAAATACCCTGTTCTTCATCAAACTTATATACTAGGTTTTTGGTTTTTTTCTTTTCTTTTTAATAAATTTTAATTGTTCATATTATTATTTTATTTATTTATTTTTTAAATTTAAAAAAAATATATATTTTATTGATTTTGTACAGAGAGGAAGGGAGAGAGAGAGAGTCAGAAACATTGATGAGAGAGAGTCATTGATCAGCTGCCTCTTGCACACCCCCTACTGGGGATATGCCCACAACCAAAGTACATGCCCTTGACCAGAATTGAACCCGGGACCTTTCAGTCCCCAAGCCTATGCTCTATCCATTGAGCCAAACCCTATCCATTGAGCCAAACCGGTCCCGGCTATTGTTCATATTATTACAAATGTTCCCCTCCCCCCTCATTGCTCTCCTCCACCAGGTTCCCGCCCCACCCTCTGCTCTTTTCCCACCCCCCATTGTCCTCATCCATAGGTGCACAGTTTATGTTGTCTCTTCCCACATCCCCCTCTCCCCTTTACCCCAAGAATCGTCAGTTCACTCCCCTTCCATAGTTCACGCCCCTTCCATACCTCTCATTCTATTATATTGAACAGTTAATATTGTTCATCAGATTTTTTTTTTTTAAATTTCCTTGGTTTTTAGATTCACTTGTTGATAGTTACGTATTTGTTGTTCATAATTTTTTCTTTATTTCTATTCCGAAAGAACTCCCTTCAGCAATTCATATAATTCTGGTTTGGTGGTGATGAACTCCTTTAGCTTTTTTTTATTAGTGAAGCTCTTTATCTGGCCTTCGATTCTGAGTGATAGCTTTGCTGGGTAGATTACCTTTGGCTGTAGGTTCTTACTATTCATCACCTTGAATATTTCTTGCCATTCCCGTCTGGCCTGCATGGTTTCTGTTGAGAAATCAGTGACAATCTTATGGGTGCTCCTTTATAGGTAACTACCTGCTTTTCTCTTGCTGCTTTTAATATTCTCTCTTTGTCTTTTGCTCTTGACATTTTAATTATGATTTTCTTGGTGTGGTCCTCTTTGGATTCCTTTTGTTTGGAGTTCTGTGTGCTTCCTGGACTTGTAAGTCTAATTCTTTCACCAGTGGGGGAAGTTTTCTGTCACTATTTCTTGCAGTATGTTTTCGATATCTTGCTCTCTCTCATCTTCTGGGACCCCCATAATTCTGATGTTGGTTTGCTTGAAGTTGTCCCAGAGGTTTCTTACATTATTTTCAATTTTCTGGATTCTCTTGCCTCCTTGCTTCTGCAGAGGAGTGTCTTCTGGCTCTTTATGTTCCAAATCTTTGACTTGATTCTTGCGATCTTCCATTCTATTTTTAGGACTCTGTATAATATTTTTTATTTCAGACAATATTCTTTATTTCTTGTTGATCCGTTATCATTTATTGTTGATTCTTTGTTAATTCTAGTTGACCCCTGAATTATTTTATGTTCAAACAGTAAAATAATAGGGGGCTCTCTCTCTCTCTCTCCTTTCCTCTCTGTAAAAAATCAGTAAAATATATTAAAAAAAAGAAAAGGAAAAAAAAGCGAACGTCTATGTCATTTAATACTGAAAGCTCTAAGGTATATGATTTTATAGATGAGGAAACAGTCTTAGAGGTTGAATAGTAGTTGACATAGTTGAATTTAGACTCAAGTATCTTAATCTATTGTAGTAGGCAAACTTTTTCAGCTACCCCACTCGTGAGTGCTTGTATCAATAGTCTTGGGTATAGAATTAGGGAATTTAAAATATCTGCTGAAGTTGGCAATAGGTATTTGTTGTTCAAGAAATGATTTGAGATGAGGGCTGTGGCATCTTAACATCCTTAAAGCTTTATCACATTTTGGGCATCCAACTGTTGGTATGTAAAGCAAACCATATATTTGAGGCTCTAGCACTTGGGTGCATGCCAGGCGCCTTTCCCTTCCCCTTCTCCACTCCCCCCACTCTTCCCCCATTTCCCCCCAGGCACATTACCTTTGCCTTTCTCTCTCCTAAGCTCTAAGGGCTCTTCCTGCCTCTGTAACTTGATTCCTGAGCTTATGCAGCCCAGCTGGTTCACTTCTAGTACCTATGTAGCTTTCTAAATAAACTTTTTCTTATAATTAAAAAAATTAAAACAGCAAGCCATGTATTTGAGTGTTGTTTTTAGCAGCCATAATGTAGAATAGGGTTTTACAACCTTGGCACAGTTAATATTTTAGGCCAATAAGTCTTTGTTGTGGCTGGCTGTTCTGTGCATTGAAGGATGCTTAGCAGCATCCCTGTCTTCTATTCAGTTGTCAGTTGCACTCCCCATGTGAGAACGGAAATGCCTGCAGGTATTATTGCCAAGTAGGTCCTTGGCGGGGCAATAATGCCTTTAGTTGAGAACTGCCAGTGTAGGGAGATTTGGTTTTTTAAAAGTCTGCTGTGTAAGTAAAAACTTTTTGTTGGTGTTGCAGGGCTCTGTTGCAAATAAGTTCTATGTTCACAACGATATCTTCAGATACCAAGATGAGGTCTTTGGTGGCTTTGTCACTGAACCTCAGGAGGGTAAGTTACTTGCCTAAATTTTTTTGATGGCATTAATTGACCTGAAAGAATATGGGTTTCATAAATGTTTTCATTATACTCTGTATTTTTTATTAACAACTTGTAATTGTCAAGATGTTTGAATATTGGTAGAAGTCAGAAGTAGACAGGCTATTATAGCAAAAACAAGTAGCATTTTTTTTTTTTGTCACACTTTCCACAGAACATGGAAGTCCAAATGATACCTGCATTGTAATGAGATGCATTATAAGAATGGAACCTTAAGTTTAGGGAATCCAGATCTTTTAGAATGGACAGTAAACATGCCTGCCTTTGTATCTGGAAGGAGACACTTTTCTGAAGTTATGAGCTCTGTAAATGTTCTTAACAGATAGTATGGAACAAAGGATAGCCATTGCCTCAATTCTAAGATGTGTAGAGACACAAGAGACATATGGAGAATTGTCTCATAATTTCTGTATGGCTGAGAGGATTCTAAGTGCTTTATATTTATTATGTAATCCTATAGCCTTTTAGATAAGTATTTTAGGCACTGTTGTTCCCATTTAATAGATTAGGGCACTGCAATAAAGACAGGTAATTTTCCCGATGGCATATTGCTGCTTTGGTGGTACAGTCTGTATTGGATTACTGGCAATATGACTTCAGATTCCATATTCTTAACCCGACACTACAGTGTCCTTAAAACCTATGCTATGATTTTACTAAATTGCCTTATTTTCTTGACTTTTTAAATATATATCTGCTTTTCTTAAGTCTCCCTTTTTTTATTATGATGAACATTGTGCAAGAGAATTTATTTGTGAATTAAGTAAGCACAAAGTGCTTCACATTTCTTTTCTCACTTAGAATCTGAGGAAGAAGTAGAGGAACCTGAAGAAAGACAGCAAACACCAGAAGTGGTACCTGATGATGGTGGAACTTTCTATGATCAGGCTGTCAGGTAAGGAAAACCTTTTCTGTCCAGAGCTGCTTGAGAATTGGGGTTGTTTGGTCTTTCCCTTTGTTAGAGGGCAGTCATGTAATCTCAGAATTACCTCAGAAAATAGTGATAATTTCCCAAAAGAAAGGTTTTACTTTTGGTACCTTTGAGCTTCCAAAAGTCTATAATGTGTTCAATATACTTTGCATTATGAGGACTATTTAAATAGTATCTACCAGTTGCTTTTTGGCTTAGTTTTTTTCTGGGCAGAAGTATAAAAGAGTTGGATACATCCTAGCAAGCCACTGCATTAATTGCTTTGGGGAAGAGGATGGCTATAAAGTTACTAGGACTTGTTTAGAGATTAGGCATAAATAGAAATTCAGACATGATTTGTAGCAGTAAAGAATATCAATAATTAACTGAGACAATAAATGTGCTACTGTATCTTATGTGTTTTTTTTAAATCTGCAACCAGAACAGAAATGTGTTCGATAGGAATAGAAATTACTACAATATTTATGTGTTCCCACGTGATACCAGTAATGTTAATATTCAGTGCTTAAAGGATATTTTCATATGTTTCTTAAGGTGCACTGATGAACTTATCACAGTACTCACCTGTGTTGCTGGTTGAAAATGACTTATTCTACCACAAACCTACTGAGTTAGAATTTCAGGGGAGAAAACACCTACAGCTTTAACAAACTAATTTATGTGAAAGTTAAAGAACTATTATTCTGAATCATAACTAATGCCTTTTTTTTTTTTTTAACCTATTTTATTATGAGAAGTTGTATTTGTGTGGTAAAATCACATAACAAAATTTACCTTCTTAACCATTTTAAGTGTAATGTATAGTAGTGTTAACTATATGCACATGGTTGTACAACACATTTCTGGGAACTTTTCATCCTATAAAACAAATTATCTATTGAACAGCTCAACTACCCTTGCTCTCTCCTCATAACCTATTAGAGTTGTGTGATTGGAAAATTGCAATACTAGTTTTAATCCATTTTGATGCATTTGCTTATGAGAATTGAGCCAATCTAATTGTAGTTAAGGTTTGCTCATTGAGTGCTTTTCTGTTTGTTGTTTTTAAAAATAAATATTTTAATTTCAGAGGGGAAGGGAGAGGGAGGGAGGGAGGGAGGGAGGGAGGGAGGGAGGGAGAGAGAGAGAGAGAGAGAGAGAGAGAGAGAGAGAGATATCAGTTATGAGAGAGAATTATTGATTGGCTGCTTTCTGCACACCCCTTCCCACCCCCACCCCAGCCTCTGGGGATTGAGCCTGCAACTTGGGAATTGAACTGTGACCTCCTGATTCATAGGTTGACACTCAACCACGGGAGCCACACTGGCCGGATTCATTGAGTGTTTTTCTTAAAAAATTTGCCTCAATACTCAGACATGAATTTCTTACTTTTTTTTTTTTTTTGGTTCAGGTCTCTATAGTTAGTTAATAAATACTTGGGAATTTTTTGCTAAATCCGTGTAGTAAGAATGATAGTTCTCAAATTTTTCTGTGAAAGCAATGACTTGGAAGAACATTTAGAGGAACCTGTTGCTGAACCTGAGCCTGATCCTGAACCAGAACCGGAGCAAGAACCTGTATCTGAAATCCAAGAGGAGAAGTGTGAGCCAGTATTGGAGGAAACTGCTCCTGAGGATGCTCAGAAGAGTTCTTCCCCAGCACCCACAGACATCGCTCAGACAGCGCAGGAAGACTTGAGGGTGTGTAGCATGTCTTTATTTTTTCCCCTCATTTACTTTATAAATCTCTGTCTTGTTATGCTTGGTTGACTTCTGTATGTGCATTTTCATATTGGTGGCTCAGGGAAATTTCTTACACATTGAGCCATGCTTTAGATAAGAGATATATATTGCTTTATAAAAAATTCAAAAGTAGCCAAAACTGGTTTGGCTCAGTGGTAGAGCGTCGGTCTGCGGACTGAAAGGTCCCGGGTTCAATTCCAGTCAAGGGCATGTACGTTGGCTGTGGGCACATCCCCAGTAGGGGATGTGCAAGAGCGGGTGGTCGATGTTTGTCTCGCATCGACATTTCTGGCTCTCTAGCTCTCCTCCTTCCTCTCTGTAAAAAATGAATAAAATATATTTAAAAAAAAAATCAAAAGTAACTTTTCTTTCCCATCTAAGGAATCTTGAGTACTTTTTGTACCAGAAATTTCAGGTGTTATTTTATCACCATATCAACAACCCCTCATCTTTTTAACACTTCATCTTTTAAATTGCAGTTTATTATAATAAACAAGTAGTTATGTATCTTAAAAAAAAAATCTAACAATAGATTTTCCTCCCCCATTTTTGATGAAATATAATTGAGTATACTTTATGGTAGGAGTAGAAGCAAACTGTTGAAATGTAACTACTTTTCTGATGAGAAACCTGATTTCAAAATATTGAAACTTTTCAGTAACTCCTGCCACATCAGGATGATGATAACAACTCCTAGAACCTTTGCATTTGGTACTCTGTGAAGAAATCTGTTTTTAGTGCCTTGCAGGTAGAAAGTAGGTTGGTTGGATTGAGAATGAATGATCATTTGTTAGGTGGCTGTTGTATTAATTCTGGAGAGAGAGAAAATGAATGATATTTTGGACTAGGGTTATGGCAATGGAAATGGAAAGAAGATAATTAGAAAGAAATGAGTTAAATAACAGGATTTGGTGATTTTTATATGGATAGAAAAAGGGTTTAAGATAATTCTAAAATTGATAACATTGGATCAGTGTTTGTATCATAGCATTTCTAAGAAATTTTAGTACTAAATTTGTGAATGGGGAAGGTAATCTCAAGATACTTATAAACTACCCTGCCTATGAAAATATGACTCCTATGATGTACAAGAAATCAAGAACTAATGGCTTTTATATTGCTTTAATATATGGTATAATTAGCTGGTATTGGTGTTTGTTATTTTAGACATTTTCTTGGGCATCTGTGACCAGTAAGAACCTTCCACCCAGTGGTGCTGTTCCGGTTACTGGGATACCACCTCATGTTGTTAAAGTACCAGCTTCACAGGTAAATTTCTAATTCAGCTTGCATATTAAGGCGAATCTATTTTAAGACCAGAGGAGAAGGGTAAAAGATAGTTTTTAATGATTTTTGTGTGTGAGAGAGAATTGTCATATTCTAGTTTAAACCTTATTGTTAGCTAAGAAACCTCACAAGAAAAAAATAAGCATGCTTTGTTTTTACACAAAAGTTAACTTACAAATGTTTCAGCCTCGCCCAGAGTCTAAGCCTGAATCTCAGATTCCACCGCAGAGGCCTCAGAGGGATCAAAGAGTTCGAGAACAACGGATAAATATCCCTCCCCAGAGGGGACCTAGACCAAGTAAGAGCTCAGAAGGATGACTTTCTAGTTTGGGGGATTTTGATGTGGGTACCTTGTTTTTTTTTTTTTTTTGGGTGGTGGGGTGGGTGGGTGTTGTACTCAATATTTTCTTAGATTTAAAATATTACCTGAGAGTTGAAAACACTTGTATGGTATAGTTACTGAAAGGTGTCTTCCCTTGTTGCTTTTGTTTTCTCTTAAGTCCGTGAGGCTGGTGAGCAAGGTGATGTTGAACCCCGAAGAATCGTGAGACACCCTGACAGTCACCAACTCTTCATTGGCAATCTGCCTCATGAGGTCGACAAATCAGAGCTTAAAGATTTCTTTCAAAGTAAGTGATTGAGTTTTAAACACTAGATTCATCTAAGGCAGCATTGCTCAATAGAAATAGAAGATGAGCCATATATGTAATTATTTAACACAAAGTAAGCTGTCATTTCAACATATAAAAATATGTAAGAGATAGTATACATTTTTCTATTCTCAGTCTTCAGAGTCATATGTTTTTACCCTTAATACATGTCTTATTTTGAACAAGCCACATTTCATGTACTCTGTAGACATGTCATATTGATAGTGTGTGTGTATTTAAAAGAAATGTCCTAATAGGTTATTTGAGAATTTGTATTTCACTTTCAGATTATGGGAATGTGGTGGAGCTGCGCATTAACAGTGGTGGGAAATTACCCAATTTTGGTTTTGTTGTGTTTGATGATTCTGAGCCTGTCCAAAAGGTTCTTAGCAACAGGGTAAGCATCATTTTTTGTTTGTTTATAAGCATGTGTATTGGCTCTTGGAATATTTATACTTATAACTATGTCTGATATGTAAAATGCAATTTATTCCAACACGTTTGTGTAATATATTCTATGGTGTTCAACCCTTCGTATCAGAGGAACTGCCTGAGAGTTTAGAAAAACAAAGCTTCTGTCTAAATAACTTAGTTTTTCAATAAGTGAATGATGAGAATAATTCCAAATTCACTGAGTTATACAAATTCCTTTTCTTGGTGGTGGCTTCTGGTGTAGAACATGAAATGCAATGTTGCATTTAGCTAAGATAGCTTAAGAGCCTGTTTGCCCTGGGTAGTCTTGGAATAAAACTGCTGCTTGGTTATAAGTAGGAGGAGCTTTGCCTTTTATTGTATAAATTGTCTTGGTTTGGAGTCACATTACCTGAAACCACTTTTACTAAAATTCTGTTAGTCTGCCCTAGCCAGTTTGACTCAGTGGATAGATTGTCAGGCTGCGGACTGAAGGGTTCCTCAGTTTATTTCCCTGTTAGGGCCCATGCCAGTATTGTGGGCTCAATACCCAGTGTGGGGTGTGCAGGAGGTAGCTGTTTTCTCATTAATGTTTCTCCCTCTCTCCCTCTTTTCCTCTCTGAAATCAATAAAAAAATATTTTTTAAAAAAATCACTGTCTAATTACAGAGGGATTTGTAGAAACCAAATTGTCTGTATAGTTCTAAAGAACTTTTCCCTTCCCCTACATCTTTCATTAGTAGCAAAAAATACTTCTTGTAGCACTAGTAGTACCCTGTTTCCCTGAAAATAAGAAGTGTCTTATATTAATTTTTTCTCCCAAAGTTGCTCTAGGTCTTATTTTCAGGGGATGTCTTATCTTTCCATGCGCTAGGTCTTATTTTCGGAGGGTGTCTTATTTTCGGGGAAACACGGTAGTAGAGAAGAACAAAGATAATTGTTAACTTTCTGAGATGGGTATGGGAACTTATAAACATCACTTTTTAAAATTTGAGGTAAAATTCACAAAGCAAAATTAGTCTTACTTAAAAAATATTTTTATTGATTTTTAGAGAGAGAGAAAAGTAGAGGAAGAGCGAGAAAGAGAAACATCAATGTTTGAAAGGAACATTGATCAGCTGCTTCCTGAAGGCCCCCTCCTGGGGATCCAGCCAACAGCCAGGCATGTGCTCTGATGGTGAATCGAACCACCAACCTTCAAATCATCAACCTTTTGGTGCACGGAGCAATGTTGAACCACCTGAGCCACACTGGCTCATCTTAGTTTTATCTTTATTTACTTATTTTTAAATATATTTTTATTGATTTCAGAGATGAAGGGAAAGGGAGATAGAAACATCAGTGATGAGAGGGAATCATGGATTGGCTTCCTCCTGCATGCCCCACACTGGGAATCAATCTCACAACCGGGGCAGTACCCCTGACTGGAATTGAACCTGGGACCCCTCAGTCCACAGGCCAATGCTCTATCCACTGAGCCAAACCAGCTAAGGCTTATTTGTTTCTTTTAAAAAATTATTGCTATTATAATTGACATTCAATATGAGGTGTGCAGCATAGTGGTTAGACATTTATATAATTTACAAGGTACCCCCTATAACTTTATTATAGTACAGTAACATTTTTTAACACCTATTTACTTTCAAAACATCTTCATCAGCTCTAGCTAGTTTGGCTTAATGGGTTGAGCGTCAGCCTGTGGACTGAAGGGTGTCTGGTTTGAGTCCCGTTAAGGGCACATGCTCATGTTGCAGGCTCTATCCCTAGTAGAGGGTGTGCAGGAGGCAGCCAGTCAGATTCTCATCATTGATGTTTATCTCTCATCCTCTTCCTTCCTCTCTGAAATTAAAAAAAGGGAAGAAATCAGATAAAAACATACACACAAAAACAAAAAAGTTCAATCATTTTCATCAATAGTAAGTCCCTTACCCATTAAGCAGTCTCTTCGCTTATCCTCTCTACCTAGCCTCTGGCAACCTAAAATCTGCTTTCAATCTCTGCAAGTTAAAACTACAAGTTTTATTAACCATGTAATAGGAATGTTGTACATCATTTCCCAGAGGTTCTCCAGAATGTTAATGGCTATATGCTGCAAAGTTTGAAGTAGTCATAATATTGTGTGAGCCTTAACCTCTAGGTGTGCATTATCTTGAGTGCCAGTGAGATGTGTACATTGAATCTACTATTTTGTGAAGCATCTCCTGCATAACTTTGAGAAGTGAGAAAACTAGCTTATTATCTCAAGGCCACAGAATATTGAACCTATCTTGTTTCCCTGAAAATAAGACATCCTCTGAAAATAAGACCTAGCGCAACTTTGGGAGAAAAAATTAATATAAGACACTGTCTTATTTTCGGGGAAACAGGGTAGAAATCTCCAGTAGGCTTTGTGGCTAAATCCATCATCGAGCATACAATAGGTCTAGTGGTGCAGCCTTTAATTCTTTGTTTCCTTACAGCAGGGGTGGGGAACATTTGGCTCGTGGGCCGTATAAGGCTCGCAAAATTATTTGGTTTGGCTCTGCCAAGACATTAGGGGTGAGTTAATTAAATTTTTGACTAAATATAGCAGCCTGATTTATAAGTTGGTAATTTTAAAAAATATATATTTTATTGATATTTTGCAGAGAGGAAGGGAGAGAGCTAGAAAGGTCGATGAGAGAGAAACATCGACCAGCTGCCTCTTGCACACCCCCTATGTACATGCCCTTGACCGGAATCAAACCTGGGACCTTTCAGTCCGCAGACCGATGCTCTACCACTGAGCCAAACCGGTTTCGGCTATAAGTTGGTAATTTTGTATGGCCTGTGAACGATGTTATAAATACTCAACTGGCCTTTAGCAGAAAAACGATTCCTCACCCCCGCCTTGCAGGGTATGATATTCCCAGTGGGCCAAAGGATGTCAGACTTGATAACTGGCTTTCTAGTTAATTGCCCAAGATAGGGATTTGTTTCTTTTAATGAATGTGTTTAAGCCTGGGTATCTTTATGTATAAGAATAGTTTATTTAAATTGTCTCAGGAAAGGGTCGTATATCTGATACCTTTTCATTCAGATTGCTTCTACCCTATAACTCCCAGCGATGTTTTCCATAACTATGTTTCAAAATATTCCAGCGCAAACCTCTGTCCCTTTAATCTTTCAGACTTTAATAAGATTTTATTTTCCCATTGTATCTAGAAGGTTGCCTGGAACCAGTGCTTCAGATTGCGTGTGAAGTGTTTTATATAAAAGTATTTGTTATTTATCTTAAGTGTTAAAATATAAATGTACAAATATAAATATATGTTTAATCAGAATTTAAAGTATAAATTAGAATTCAGAAAAGCCTTTTTTTAACTTTATACTTTCAGATTATGCCTTTGTAGTTTGGGAACTTCAACTGTGTCTTGATTTTTCCCTCATCTTACTGTATTGGTAGATATCCCTTCAGTAATTTTTTATGAGTATAGAAGTAGCTTATATAAGCCTCATGACCATGATAATTGACATGCTCTTGTGTAGCATAGTGGTTCAAAGCTTATACTTTCCAGTCCGGACGGCTTCGTTTACAGTCCTCTCCCATCACTCACTAATGCTGTGGCCCATGAGGTGAGGGTTTCTCAACTTTCCTGGCCCTTAGTTTGCTGGCCCCTAAAATAGGTATAACAACAATCCTTCGAGTGTTGTGACGGTCAAATGAGAGAATACATGTGAAGTATGTAGAACACATCTGCAGAGCAAGTACTGTTAGATATTTATTTTTAAAAATATTTCAGCAAATAGGATTGCTAATGAAATGTGTATATTGAATTCATTAGAATCTGGAGTAACACTTTGTTCCTTCTTTAGCTCTATTAAGTGAAAAGGAAAGCCAAAGTCTTAGCGTGTATATATTTCTTTTTTCCTTTTAATAAGATAATGTTACCTTTATTGTCCTCAGTATTTTCAAAATTCTAAGGCAAATAGCATTTTGTGAAAATTTTATATAAAAGGCTAAGTGTTGGTCAGTCCTATGGGTAACTCTGACGCATTGACTCTGAGGGCACAGACACTCAACACAGGAGCTGCCATAATGTACACTGGCCATTTAAAAATAAGAGACACCAAGGACCTGTGCCGGACAAACCCAACACTTGGCTTCCCCCAATGGGACACAGGCCTACCACCACCCTGGAGTGACACCCCACCAAATTGCAGCCAACGCTGCTAAGACCTCATGGCGCCAAATGCGGCCCACAGCCCAGCCCAGCCTGGAAACGGTGGCTATGGTAACATAAGTAATATAGCAGTACCCGGCTTCCTCTCCCTAGAGATTAGCCTCCTTGGAGTTTCTTCAGCCCAGGAGACTTGCTTTATAGCTGGGTGCAAACATTTTACAGTTTAACCAAATGTTTGTAAAGCGTTTTCCCATGCCACATCTCATTTGATCCTTAACAGAAGTCCTAGAATAGTTAGGTAGGAGACTTGGTAGAATCCTATTTTCTTTTCTTTCTTTAAAAAAAAAAAAAAAAAAAAAAAAAATATATATATATATATATACACACACACACACACACACACACACACATACACACACATATTTTTTTAATTGATATTTTACAGAGAGGAGGAGAGAGGGATAGAGAGTTAGAAACATCCGATGAGAGAGAATCATCGATCAGCTGCCTCTTGCACACCCCCCACTGGGGATGTGCCCACCACCAAGGTACATGCACTTACCAGAATCGAATCCGGGACCTTTCAGTCTGCAGGCCAATGCTCTTTCCACTGGGCCAAACCGGCTTCGGCCCTATTTTCTTTTTATTAGCAAGACACGAATATTAAATATTAAATATTAGATATTAAATATTTAATATTAGATATTAAATATTTCTCCTAATTAATTTCTTCTAATTAATTTCCTTTCAGTGTGCACTAATCCGTGTTTGGGGACACTAGTATTTAAATAAAATTAATGCTTTTGAGATGTTTATGTATTTTGTATAAACATGTGCAGCACAATCTTCCACATTTGGTAATGGGGTTTTCTTCTCTTAAGCCTTGAAATTCATAGCGAAGATGAAATATTCTACTTATGTAATTCTTTGGGAAAATAAGATCTACTTTAATAAAGTACAATTAAAGAGTTACTTGTGCTCCTATGCTGTTTAAATGGACATTTTTGAACTTGCCTGCATACTCCTGCATATCAGATCACCTTTCTTTGTTTTTGTTAATGGGAACATTATGTATTCTGAATTTAAAAGTAAAACTAAACTGTGAGGATGTAGGTGATTTGTAAGCTGCTGGTTCTGTATAATAGCTTTGTTTTAACCTTGCCAGTTGGTCGCTGGTCAGCACTGTGTGTAAGTCTTCTCACCTTGACTCTTACAGCCCATCATGTTCAGGGGTGAAGTCCGTCTGAATGTGGAAGAGAAGAAGAATCGAGCTGCCCGGGAAGGAGACCGACGAGATAACCGCCTGCGGGGACCTGGAGGCCCTCGAGGTGGGCTGGGTGGCGGAATGAGAGGCCCTCCCCGAGGAGGCATGGTGCAGAAACCAGGATTTGGAATGGGAAGGGGAATTGCTCCAAGGCAGTGAAGTGCTCTTCACTGATTGATCTTCACGCAGCAGTACAAACCCTGTTCCTGCAGAATGGTGATTTCTTCAACCATCCTTTGGTATCTTGCAGTATGACCCTGGTCTCTTATAAACTGCTTAAGTTTGTACAATTTTACTTTTTGTGTTAATGGTGTGTGTGCCCTCCCTTTCTCTTTTCTCTCCTCACCTATTATTCCTTCACTTCCAATTTTGTGGAATGATATTTTAGGAAAAATGGATTTTTAAAGAAGAAAAGAAAAAAAAGACTGAATTTTCTTGCTTTACTTTGCATATACAGACTGGATTTTTTTTTTTTTTTTTTTTAAACAGCCATTTCCCCAAAGGAATGTGTTGCTTATTACTGACATTTGGTATGTTTCATTCGTGGGATATTTCTTACTTATTTTCTACATGTTTCAAAAGCCTTTGAGAAATACAGGATTTGATAAACATTTTGAAGGCAGGAAAACCCCCAAAATTGTTTCCTTTGAGAGTCATGACTACCTTCTGGTGTGGAGAAACTGCCATTGGAAAATTTAACAATTTTGATTCTCTCTGATATGGATAAAAACTGAATAAAAGATGTTAGTGAAGTTTTTTCTTTTGATATGTGATCACAAAACAATTATAAAATCCACTCTTCTTACTGTTGAAATTTAAATTGTGAGATACGTTTTAAATGTCTAGAATGCAACTGATGTACTCTTCTTAAATTATTAGGGGTTATTTTGGAGTAGAATTTATTTTTATGTTTAATTTGTATTTGTTAACAACAGAAAAAAAGACAACACCCTCCCGCCACAATCCGAATAACACAAAACCAGAGCAAAACTGTTGTGCCTTCTATTATCTTTGATTCCGGTCTTGGCAATTGTTGAAAGAAAAATGATAATAATAAAAAATCTAGATTTTTTTTTTCAGGTTCACAGAGTATGTTGGGAATTGTGGAACCCCTCTTTCACTGTGCGTCTTCTGTTCACTTGTTATGCTGTAGTCTGAAATTGAGTCTCAAACTGGAATGCCTTGAGAATGGGTGCTTCTGTAGAGGTTCTTTGACCTAAATAGCTCGGCATTTTATTTTGGTATCCAGAATTCTAATAAGCCCACAAGAAGGAATGTAATTTTCATATTGGACTTTCTGATATGCTTGAGTGTCTGCTAGTCTTTTTCCTTTAAATCAGCCACTTGGTAAATTTTCTATTTTGTTACTGGTTCTCTTTTATCGATGGACATGCAATAGGTGTTTATTTGAAATGGCCAATTTTTATTAAAATATTTCTGGAAGAAAATTTAATCTGGCAATGTAGATTAATACTCGTTTTACATAGTATGCTGAATGCAATGTATGATTTGGGTGAAGGTTTTGTTTACACATATGTGAAGGAAGCCTTTGTGTAGTATCATGTCATTGTTACTACCATGTTTCCCCGAAAATAAGACATCCCCTAAAAATAAGACCTAGCGGCAACTTTGGGAGAAAAAAATAATATAAGACACTGTCTTATTTTCGAGGAAACAGGGTAGTTGAAGGGCAAGAAGGCTGTCAAATTTAACTTATTTTCTTTTTAACCGTATTCATCTTTAGGACTGTTGCTTGAGGATAGTGTGAGTAGGAATGTTTGTTTTTCTGTTACTGGGAAACTAGGCTTGCTGAAGGGTGTAGTCTTAAACTAAAATGAAATTTGATGTTATCAGTTGGTCCTCTATAGCTCAAATATTTGAAAATTGGCAGCATCTCCTTCATATAAAGAAACTTACATAACTGAATCACATGACTGTTTTGGTGTTCAGTTTAAATGATTATTTGGTAACCACTTCATTTGGCCTAGCCAGTGATAATTAGGAGAAATTCAGCTTATACTCCTGTAGCTTATATTAAGCTTGTGAAAAGAAAACAAACTTAGCCTGAGTTATTTTTGCAGTAAGTATAAAGGATAAATTATGGATAACCTATAAATCATTTTTCACGAGTGAATACTAAACCATGCATTTCAAAACAGGAGTTCTTTTTACTCAGGTTTAAGGGTACTAACTAGATGCAGTGATATCCAATTTGGGGCTGTTATATCCTAGAGGACATTGGAAATGTGTGAGATTTTGAAAGGTGTTGGAGGGGAACACTGCGTTTGGCATTTAGTGGGTAGAGATCAACAATGCCACATGTTCTGTAAAAATGAAGCAACTGCATTAAAAACAGTTTCTACTTCTATAAATGTGTGATGGGCAGAGCAGTGGATTACAGCTAGAGTTGAAGACTCATTCCTTTGCAATAAAGCTTCAGATAAATAATAAAAATAAACGAATTAGCAAATAGATAGCTCTTTCAGCAATTATAGTAACATTTATTATAAGTTATGTAATTTTCCTTCATTTGTACCAAATGTGGTTTAAAAAGTTTTTGGAGAAGGTAGCATTATGCTGGATGCTGCTTGTAACTTGTTGCAGGGAGTTATTGTATAATCACAGAAAACGAAAGTTCACTTCAGTAACTTCAGCTCATTAGAATTTGGGCGATTTTGAATAGCACAGGACTTTTATATATAGTATTTAGCATCATATTTTAACACTATAAAAATCCTGGTATCTTTGTTTCCATTATTACTGATTTAATAAACATGATACTGTAGAAATATATATATTCGCACAGGTAGAAAGTGAAAATAAAATAAAGCAAGATTTTTCTATAGGCAGCATTGGCTCATATTCAACCTTTTCACATTTTAAAATACAATTTTTTATTTCTAGGAATGGCCCAGTGTCTAGTTCTTTTCTACTGAGCTTAACACCCTTCACTTATCTAGTATCTTACTAGGTATAAGATTAGTTCAGTGTGCATCTTGGTTTTTTAAGACTTGTTGAAAATAAATACACTTGGGTCTTAAAAAAAAGTACTTTTATTTGCTTTTATGGTGAGGTTGGTCTTGACTTGTGTATGCCTGTGTTCTCAACTTTTTGAGCTTTTGCTGGGGAGCAGTGAAAAGAATAATTCAAAAATAATTATTTGAGTAGGCTACTGCACAGTATTAGTTGGTTTGCACTTTAGGTTGGAAAAATAATTTTCACTACTCTGGATTAGGTACTATTTTCCTCAAAGTAATAGATAAAGGAGAAATGGCATCAGAGCAGCTATGTGACTAGGCCTCCAAACCATGTAGCAAGGAGCAGATTGACCTCCGAAACTGATGCTTTTTCTCAAAAACCCAAATGCCTACATATCTACATTTGAATGACATATTAAGATACAGGATATGACCATATAGAAACCAGGGTCTATAAAACATAACAAGGTTAGCATTTCTGTTCTTCATTTCCTTAGGCTAAATAACATAATTAAATGATTTGTATAGGGCTTCTTTTGATTTACAGACATTTGGTAATAATAATGACTTTTTAGATTAATTTCTTACCTGATTTGATAATACATTTAGTACAGTCTTGAAATCTGTAAGTGAATAATATTTTTATCAGAGCATAATCCAGGTGAGTTTTTTGCAGTTATGTTTTGTGCTTATAACTGCCATCCTCTGATACTTTCTTCATCCTTTTATTTGAAAATCCTTGTATAGTGTAATGAGTTAGTGGAAAATGAGGCACTTTATAGAAAACAATTTGTTAGAATCTATATGGAAATAATCTTCCTATGAGGTTTAAAATTGTAGACCATTGTTTATGCTGAGTGGCTTATTTCTTTTATGTAAATGGTTGCATTTGTCAAACCTACTGATCTAAAGATCTTTTATATTGAAGTTTTATTTTTGTGCTACTTAAAATAATTTCTGCAGGAACTACGTACAGTTAAGCAATCTTGAACTTTGAAAAAGAAGCAACTTCAACATTTATTTGAATATAAGGTTCTAGCTAACTGCCTAATTATTAAAAATGGACATTAGATAATCATGGTAGTCTTTCACAAATGTTTAAAAACCTTAGGAATGAATGTTAGCAACTTAGCAATGTCTTGTGTGGGATGAGGTTGTAGATTTAACTTGATGATCAAGCAAAATGTTGGCTATTTGGTACTAGATAATTAGGTAAGGATTTCTGCTTTAAATTTCCTCTTGGGATTTGCATTTGTATACTGTGATATTGAAGTTCTGGGGACCATAAACAGGCTTATAAATTCTTACTAAAGGGAAAATGGTGGCACCTGTTAGATAAAACTTTCACTTATATTCTTTTTAGTGACTATGTATCTAGCTCAGAATAATGCTGAAATTAGACCACTTTGCTTGTGCTTTCATGAAACAGTCTCTCATCGTGACCTGAATGAATAAAGAGTTGATTAGAGGTGGCCTAAAAGCACTAGTTTTATTTTAGTTTTGATTTACGCTAAAGTATGGCTTAGAATAAAGGTTGTTCGCTTTTTGATTATGTGACTTATTTTGAAAACCTTGGGCAGTCTTTTCTCCAATTTCCACTTGAACCTGGTAGCTTTTTTTTTTAGTTCCCTGGGAAAAGAAAATAGTATTGGAAGTCAGTTCCACTATTCCATAAACCATGTGACCTGGCCAACTAGAAATTCATATGTTTTGCACTTTGAAGTGTGGCCTATGCCACAGATGCCAAGGGACTTGCATCTACCCATTGTGTCTTTTCTTAAAAAAATAAAATTAAGGGATGTTTACCAAAAGTTTACTATTGAATTATTTTAACAAAATATTTTTTTGTAAACCCGCTTTGGGAAGTTTGCTATACTTTTTGGTGTTAATTTCAGGGATGATCATATCTTATTTAATCTGGATACAAGCAATTTTATTGTTATAATTAACCATTTTGGTTACTGGAACTTTCCCCAAGCTTTTTAGAATCACCTATTTTACTTTGGATTTTATTTAAATTCTTAAATGTCTTTCTGAAGATTGTGTATGTATACTGATTTGGCCCTTTTGAATGAAGACATACTGAGAAGCTGGCATAAGGGAGTAGGGAGAAGAAAAGGACTTCATTTAAAGAGTCAGTGCATACTTAGATTGTAGAACAACTCTTGTTAAAAGTAAATTAATATAGGTAGTTGTTAGATTTTGAAGATGATTCAGGTGCAGGTGGAACTTAGCTGTTGGTATAGGAATCATTTTGTGATTTATAAGAAAAAAACCATAATTTTTAAATGAGAAACAATTGAATGTTTCCTGACAAGATTTCTTCTCATTCTGATTATTAGCACAAGAAACAGAAGAGCTCCTAGAATTCACTGAATTATAGAAAGCTGGAAAGGACTAAAATGATTTGTATAACACCTTCATTTTTCCAAAGATCTAGGTACTCGGAGAATTGATTATTGGTACCGATTCCCAGATTGCCTTGTAGAAGTAACATGGAGGGGATTGCTAGTCCTCCCTAGGCTGGCTGAAAGTCTGGATATGGGAGAAAGGGGAAGAAGCCACATTTTACATGCTCACTCAGTTGCTCCTCTGTAGCTCAGTTTTCATACCGAGGTTTACTCCATTTCCTTAGAACTCTCTTAATGCCTGTTGAAGGACATTAACATGTGTTCCCCTCAGGGATGGGTTTACTACTAGCTGTCAGAAAGCTATTGGGTATCCTAATGTGTTAATAGCTGAAACTCAGCTGTAATTTTCTCCTAAATCTGTCAGCATTTTACATTCTGTACATTGTGGTGCTTTTTCACCTTGTATTGTTATAACTGTAAGCTCCTAAGGGGCAGCAATTTGGTCTTAGGCAGGTACCCTGTTCAGTGCCTGGCAGTGCCATGTGTGTATCAGGGTCCTAATCTTCCTTTCCAGTGATTTCTCCCATTCTTCGTGGAAGTGATGCTCCAGCCATCCTGAACTACTCCTGGCTCCCCTGAGAGGCCAGGCATTGCAACTCCATGGCTTCAAGTTCCTCTCTCTTCCCTGAAGATACACTTGCATCTGCTTTCCCCTGTCCAGATCCCTTGTCATGGAAGTCATTTTTTTGAAGATCCAGTTCAAGAACTAATTGTTCTTTTTCCTCGAGAGAGAGAAAATGTGCAACAGGAGCGGGGAACCTTTATTTGGTGGTTGATCTGGCCAGAATTTGAAATGAGGAACAACAAACTCATTCCCATCTTCTTTCCTTCCACATTGTCTCTCTTGTTTGACAGTCCCTATCTTCATTTTTAAAAGATATGTTCCTAGAGCACTTTATACCTTTCTCCTAGCTGAAAACTTAAGCCTTCAACCTGGAATTAGAATGACCTGTATCAGTTTTACTACATCATTAGACCACGGCTCCGAGAGAACAGACTGGGAAATTAATTCCTGCACTCCACCGAAGGTACAGTGATGAGGAAAGAGGCATTTAATGATGACTCATTAAGTTGAATGAATTAATGTATTTCGGTTTTCCTTTTCAAAAGGAAGGTATGCTTAGAGCCAGGGCTTAATTGAATAAATTTTAGGCACTATGACATTTCATAGTGGAGGGGATTGTTGGGAAATTTTAAGGGTGGGGGGAGGGGAGACAGGAGGGAGGAAGCCCCTTGTCATTTTGAGGTACTTCCATCCTTGGCTTGACTTAAGTGCCCATTATATCTCAGGCATTTTGTTTGTATGTAGAAGAATTTTATGTGCCAAATTTAATCCCCCCCCGCGCCCCCACGAACCTACTCCATTGTTCTTTCAGTTCATGTCATCACCCATGCCCCAAATCTAAGTTGTCTGCTTCCCTTTTTCTTGCTCCCTACATTCAGTGTCCAGCTAAGTCCTATCAGTTCTACCTCAGCAGTCTTTCACATCTCTTTTTCCACACTGGGATAATTTCAGTGGCCTAGCTTCCTTGACCTCTTTTTACCCCAGCCTACTGATACCCCATGCTAGATTCATCTTGCTGAAACAGCTCTATGGTCCCATGTATGTGTTCTATCTCCCCTGCTAGACTGTAAGCTCCTGATGGGCAGGATCTGTGTCTGAGTCATTTGTATCTCCCTAGTGCACATATCAATAAATATTTCTTGAATTAATATAAAGCCTGTTGTAAGTGAAATGATGATTTCTAGATCATATGTAGGTTTTCTGGGGTAATTGCAAGACTTTAAAAGTTCTCTAAAATAAAAGTTGGTTGAATAATAACTATCGATTAACACAAAGAAAATTTCAGAAAACTTTTAATTTTTTTTTCATTGGAATCAGCATGGATATGTGTTTATGGATGGTTCAATAAATATATTTTTATATACATGTATCACAGAAATTTTACATTCCATATTCAAACTGCAGAAATAGACTTTTTTTTTTTTACAAGCCAAAAAAATAATTGCCATAACTTTTATGACTTCATGCAAAAAAGGGAGGAAGTAAGGGGCAAAGGGGAATAGGTTAAGAGTCCTGTAAGAAGTAAAAATTTTACATTAAGGAAGCGATTGCTTAACACGCTGCTTAAGGTGGTAGCCAAACAAATCCTTAACTGCAGCATTAAGGCCATACCAAGTTTATACATATATACAAAGAAATTTCCATATAAAAGACATACTGTCACATTTTCTTATGGGAAAGGATGAGGAGTTTTGTAATTCTGACCCAGTTTTCCAGGCCAAGTAATTAAGACTTCCCTAGGCTATTTCTTAGAACTCTCTTTTACTTTGGCTAGCTGTCAGTTACTACTCTGTGGGCTTATGACTTTTGTAGTCTCTTGTGGAAGTATGATCTTGAACCTTTTCCATCATAGGTGATCAAGCATCTTGTAACTTAACTAATTCACACTGCCCAGTGCAGCATGTATTTTACATCTCCCAAAAGTATGGGGATCACAGGATTGTAACTTCAGTTGTCTTACCTGTAGCATTCTCCATAGCCTGTCACCTGAAGAATTGGGTGCCCTTCTGTTCTTTGGGGTTAAAAGTTTTGAATAGCTATAGTATAATGAAGTGTGAGGTTTCAGGTAACATACCCTGGAGCTCTTGAAAGTTATTACTGAACTTTTACCCCACCCCTTAACACATTTCAGTTGGCAGCTACCTTTTTGGAAAGAAAGATGTAAAGTCACTTGCAGAATAGTTCTGCCTAAATATCAAATCAGGTAGCTGTTAAGACAAAGGGTAGGTCTTTTGTGCGGATACCTAAATTAATGTGTCCTTTGGAGATGACTGAAGTTACGCAGGAGCCATTTGCTTTGGTGAGATGAGATCGGACGCTGGTTCTATTGGCAGAAACTGGCCTATTGTAGTGGGTAATCTTGAATAAAAAAAATAAAACTGATAAGTCATGTAAGTAAAATACCCTTTTCCCCAGTGAATGAGTAAGTTTTTATTTGATAATTTCTTTCTCACTTTGGACTTTTAAGTCAATCTAATAACTGCTTTCTCATTAATGTCTTAGCTGTAGCCCTGTTCATCCTGTTTCTAGGTATGCCTCCTGTGTGTTCACAGCTATGGCTGCAAGTTAATTTGGTGCCCTCTCATGGGTTCCCTGGTCCAATCAAGTTTGAGAATGAGGTCTCTGGAAATGGCCTTCCTGGGAGAGAGGACCAAACAATTTGTGATTTGGAAGCAGTTTAGTGTGTCTGAACACTTAGAAAGTGAGCAGTCACTGTCTTTCAATCATTCACCAGCCTCTCTCTGCCCAAATGACACTAGTTCTTTACATTGAAGTAATTTTCAGTTCTAGAGAAGTGATTTTAGCCAATAGGTTGATCATGACAATGAGATCCAGACGAGGAGACCTGGAACCCTTTGACAACCTTATTAGAGGACTTAAAAGTATTAAGGGTTTTATCTTGGTCACTTTGTGGTTCACTTTGTACATATCAATATAATTACAGAAAGGACAGATGGGTATTCTGTCCAGTTTTTCAAACTTGGGAGGCAGCTGAGGTCCTTGCTTTGTTTGGTCTTGAAATTAGAACTTACCTGCATAGTTTTCTTGGGTTCTTTTTGAGATCTTTGCACTATTGTTTGTCTAATATGCACAAGAATCACATTGGTAGGCATTTCATCTGTCCAATAGACCAGCAGGATGCACTCCTTTGGTATGTAACTATTGTTAGTGCTGAAAATACTATAATGGATTAAGTCTTGGAAAATAGAACTATTAAAATATGAAATAGTATGACAAATTCATGGTATAAATTTTAAGCTTTGAGATGCATTTTGGGAACACCCACTTTTAAAACTTCTTACTATATTTTGGCTAACTGGCATGCTCAGAGCATGGTACACATACCTTTGAATGAGGTAGAAATACCTAATGTGGAAAAAATTTGATTTTAGCAAATTACTTATTTGATATGTAAGTACCATTTTTAAAAAAAGATTTGGGCCGATCATTTACTAGGGTGGGTAATTCTAATCTCTCCCCTCACAGTATTCTTTCTAATGAGTTAAACCAAGAAAGGCAACTCTTTCTGAAAGAAACTTCATTTTACATACTAGCAATGACTTGATTAAAAACCAGTTACATTTGTCTTTTAAAAAATTCATATTTGGCTCTTTTCCTCTTCACACCTTTTTTTCCTCTGAACATATCTTCATGCTTTGACTAGGGAGAGACACTCTAGGTTGTGAGAAGTCATTTTAGATGCAGCTGAAAATAAAAAGGGTATGCTAGGCTATATTTTCCTCCAGGTCAGCTCTGTTTTCTAATTCAGAGCAACAAAAGGTAATAGTATTTGCACCACAAGCTCCATGCACTAAGTACTGGCTGGCTGGCTGGCTGGCTAGCTGACAAAAGGAAGCTCCAGAAGAAAGTTTTTGAGTCACAATAGATTAGCATCTCAGAATATAATCAGGACTTGATTGTACTCTATTATCTCCTCTCCAGTGCCTACTGAGCACAACCTAAGAGCTTCCTATATGTTGGGGTGCCTTAATGCCCTTAAAGATGTGACTTTCTAGTGGGTACTCTGTCTACTTCTAAGATGAAGGAAAAGGTAAGTTCCCCCAAATAAGTATAGGAGAATCTGAATGAGGCTGGAAGTGTCAGCTGATGGGAAGGAGATAGAATGAACTCTCAGCCCCTGTGCTGTGCCCCAGGTCTGTCAGAACTTTAAAGTTGTTTCGATGTACTTCATGCTTTATCTGTGCCTACCATTCACTACACTTGAACCAAACGGATAATCACTATACCGATAATCACTATACCTTGTATGTGCCCTAGTTGTTTTTTTTTGTTTTGTTTTTTGTTTTGTTTTTACCTCCATGTTTTTTACTCCTGCTATTCCCTCTGTTCTTTAAGGTGCTATTGCTCAAATGAGACCTCAGGTCTTGAAAGGCTCCATGATCTGTCTTCAGCATTCCTCATTAGTGATTATTTTGGAAGTTCTATTGTCCCCTCCTACATTGTAAGAAAAGAGGCTTTCATTCTGATGCCCTGCTTTTACACTGCAGTTCTTGCCACAGCCATTTCAGAAACAGCAGGTAGATGGGTGATAGACAGGAGTAGGGAAGTTAGTCCTGGCTATGACATGAACTATGGAGACCTCCTCCCTGAGCTTCCACTTCTGACGTGCACCCTGAGAGGCTGAGCTGCTTTCTCCATGCTGAGACATTTTGAAAAATATCAAGGCAATTAATTACAAAGCAGTTACCTACATACCCAGTGACCCTGACGAGGTCACTCAATAGGCCATTCAGAGTGCCCTTTGTCTCACCAGCATGCAGAGCTATGCAGGACTGGCCCTGGCCTTCAAAGCAGTGGCCTATCTATTCTGGCATTACTGCTGAAGCTCATGTCCTGTTCTGCCAGAGGCCAAGCTTCTGGATGCAGGCCGAGAGACATGGATAGGCCAACCCAGTCCTGGGAACTGTAGCAAGCAGAGGCCTTGTCCTGTGAACTGGTCTGGCCTAGTTTGTGCACATCAAGCTACCTAAGGGATTGTTAGGTCAGAAGCAAAAGGATAGACAAACAGCAGCTACTACTTAAAATAAAAAAATAAAGTTCTGACCCAAGAAATAGATGTGAGAGGAACATGGATTGGTTGCCTCCACGCACCTTGACCAGGACCAGGGCCAGGGAGGAGCCTGCAACTGAGGTACATGCTCTTGACTGGAATCGAACCTGGGACCCTTTGGTCCACAGACTGACACTCTACCACAGCCAAACTGACGAGGGCCTGCCACCACTTTTAATACTCATTTCAATGGCATCTCATACAGAGGTGCTCCCTCTTTACCTGAACACTTGCTTGGGGGAAGTAGTTACTCATATTTAAAAAGATGAAACCACAATTATATAAACCCAGATAGTAAACTGCTATGGGAAATAGGAGTCTGAGCTCACCTATCCTGTTTTCCAAGAGAGGTTCCTGTGAGACCCAGTTTCTCACCTCCGAATTCTTCCTCTGGTCTCTATTACCACATCTTCCTTTCCAACTCATATCCAGATCACATCTTCACTAAATAAGTTCTTCTCTCTGGTTCCTGTGCCTTGCCATGTTTGTAAGAGGTGCCTCTTCTTAGTTGAGTGATGTTTTATTTATTTTTTAAAATATATTTTATTGATTTTTTTACAGAGAGGAAGGGAGAGAGCTAGAGAGCTAGAAATGTCAATGAGAGAGAAACATCGACCAGCTGCCTCCTGCACACCCCCACTGGGGATGTGCCCACAACCCAGGTACATGCCCTTGACTGGAACTGAACTTGGGACCTTTCAGTCCGCAGACCGACGCTCTACCACTGAGCCAAACCGGTTTTGGCTGAGTGATGTTTTAAAGGGATTCCAGATATAAGGAGGTCCTCCAGAAAAGGTTTAGTCCTTACTCTTGATTTCGGGCAAATCTAGGCCATTCCAGGCATACACTGATCTCTCATGCAGGACTGTTAACAGAGTGTGTTCTCACTGTCCTCCAAATGCCATCGATAGCCACCTGCCTGCTGCTCACCCCGCTTGGGTTTTTTCATAACTAGCTTAGGTTCTTCCATAACTAGCCCCACATCATGTGCCAGACACTGGATTAGTAGGTGCTCAAAGTTTATGTTGCTTATGACCAAGTTCTGAGAAGATGAAGACTGAGGATTGTCTCGTTAGGTT